TTTGACTTTTAAGGGAAACGCCGCATTTTCTGCACCCGTGGTGCCATTTGATTTTTCCACCAGCATAGCACAAGGGCCTGATTTGCCCACACCCTCACCAGCGCTTGTCTGCTCAGACTCCTTCCACACATCCTGTCTTTCGCATTTCCCTCATTGCTGGGACACAACACCCAACACCCACAACTTAAGGAAGGAGAGATCCATCCGCCTGGGGTCCTCTTGCTCAATTCAGATGGAAAGTATGAAATGGCAAAGTGCAGCTCAGCTAGCAGTCCTGATGTCACCAAATGAGACCAGGTAAAGCTAGATGCCCACAGCTGACACAACCAGCTAGCTGCTGGTCACTGCCGGCTGTCACCTTCTGGTGCCTTGTGCTGGGCACCATAGGTCAACTCGCTGAGCACTGTGTTTCTGCCGCTGGTCTTCATCAGCTGCGGTCTCCGGAGCTCTTTGGTGCTAACAGTTCTGAGTGTTTGTTGCTTTCTTTTGAAATGACCACTCTGCCCACACTATCCAGGATAAAAATCCCAAGTAGATTCACAGGACCGTTGCAGCCCACACTACCTGAGAAACAAATCGCAAGCAAGTTTAAAGGAGCAGCAAAGCAAGTCTGCTGCAGCCCAAGGCTTCAGTACACAGGAGGGAGCCCTCCTAGACTAAACCCGGAAGTGGCTGCGCATGCTGCTTATATAGCATCTGTAGGCCTGTGGCAATGAGGGGTGGGCCTGAAAGCTTGCTGTGAATGCTGGGTATGCAAATAAGGGGCCCAGAGCCCCCCTTACTAATCTCAGCCACTCCAGGGTGCCCCTTCCCTTCTTGACAAAGCCAACAGCAGCATCTGGAGTTGTGGGAGGGGTCGAGGGGGGCAGCACGCTGTCTGTCTCACTGCACTCATGTTGGAGTGGAGGTTTGATAGCCGGGGTGGACACGGAAGCAAACTGTCTCCATCCACTGGGAGAGGTGAGGGGGAGCAAGGGGAGGGGAGAGAGGTAGACAGCTGTGCCCAAATCACACACCCCCTCCAGCAGTGCAGGGAAAAATGAGAATAGCAGTTGCTTCTGTCTGTGTCATAGTGACCCACCTCCTCCTGCCAGACCCTACCTCCTGATAGCAAGTCAGCTCTAAACCCCCATAATCTAGTCACCTTCCAAAAGCACCACCTCTGAACACATGAGCCTTTAGGGAATATTTTAGCTCTAAATCGTAACATATACTGTTCATCTGTCTTGTTGCTGGAACAAAACACCTGACCACAGCAACTGCAAGGAAGAGAGGTTTATTTGGCTTACAGTTTCAGAAGTTTTGGTCCATGATTGGGCAGTTCCAAGGCAGAAATATCACAACAGGAGAGGACAGGGGAGCAAAGCTGCTCATTTTGTGGTGGCAGGGAAAGACAGCCAGAGAGGAAGGGGCCAGGGACCAGACACAGTCCCCAAGGTCACATGATCATCCAGACACACACAGAAGTGGGCTCTACGGACTCCCTACGCATTGCCTTAGCCAACTACATTGATGCCACGGTGTGCAGGATCCTTGCAGCCTCATCTCAGCCTAACCTGCCTAGCTGGACAGAAAGGAGGAAAGGGGCATTGTAGGGTAAGTGAACGGACAGCCCATGCGTGGAGTCACTGGTATAAGTGCGCAGGTGGCTGGCATGGTGGGAGATGATGGGTGTCAGGTGGACCCCAGTGGAGGGTTGGTAGGTGGGGGCCGATGGAGCACAGGAGAAAGGATATCACCCAGACCGGAGCCACCCCCACCCATCCCCAGACTTGGTGATCCCTACCTCAGCCCTCTTGCAGAAATGCTGTGTGCTGGGTCCATCCCCCCCACCCCCTGACAGGCAGATAGGTGTGCCCTCTCCCTGTTATCCCTCCACCCTGCCTGCCATCCCCTGGCCGGACCCACTGAGGACTGTGGAGAGCTGCAGCCAGGTTGCCCAGCTGGGCTCACAGGCAGAGCTAGGAGGCAGGCAGGACTCAGGCATTTTAAGTGCATTCAAAGTGCACAGCTGGCACTTGTGAGTCACTGGGAGGAGACTGGGTAATTAACTGTAGGGCTGCTAAAGCTCCTCCTCCTGCCATCCATCCCAGGTGCCATGAAGAACCTACACACCACTCCAGATGCTCCCACTCCCGTGCAGTTCCCTATCACAGGGCCCAAAGTGCAAATGGATTGGCTACACCCCCTGGGCATGTGACCTGCATCTGGCCAATCAGAGTGCCTCACCCTTCAGGTCAGAATGATTGGTCCAAATAGAGACATATGCCCTAAAGTTGGACAATGAAATCCCTATCTGGATGCATGGGCTGCCATGGGAATGCTAAACTAATAAATCCAGAGCTGGTGGTCATGCTTGACTCCAAATTAGGCAAAATTTGCCTGAGAATGAAGCCCACACAGATGACACAGGGGAAGGACAGATTCCTCCTCTGGTGACCTCGTAGCAGCACCTGGATCCAGCCATGGCAGAGGCCAGACACAGCCTTGGGCTTTTCTGTTGCATGAGCCAACCAGTCGGACTGTCTGTCGTCTGTCCCTCTCCCTCTCCTCTCCAGTTTGTTTCCTCCATATCAGAGATGGGCGCTAACAACAGACACGCTCAGGTATTTCCTGCTGTGGTCTTCCAGCGGGACGCAGCAATGGCTCCTAGAATGCCAGTTTCCCCAGCAGCCCAGGTGGAGAGTCTCCCGAGGGGCTTGTAGTAGCCCGACAGGAACCTCCATGTCTCAGGGCTTCGCTCACCAGGCAGCCGGTCGCCTCGGCTCTGCGTCAGACTCCAGGCATCAAACTCCTGGGCTTTTCTGAGGAGCCTGGTCACACAGATGTGACTTTGGGGACCACTGTGCTTAGCAAGTGATCTCACCTCTTTGTTCGCAGGCCTCTCCTCTGACGCACAGCACTGAGGTGTACGTCAGTGTAGGACGGGCTATGCTGCAGAAACCACCACTCCCTGTGCCCAGTCCCGAGGCATGGAGGTCTGCTATGTGCTTGTCCCTCATGCCCAGGGAGGCTCACTCAGCCCGTTTGGCCCCAGCCCCAGTGATTCAGTCTGAGAGGACGAGGAGAAAAGTCACATGCCCCACATGGCCCGGTGCACAGAGGAAGCAGGCAGACGACGGCTATCCAGAAAGGGATAGTGCAGGCAGCCCTCCCTGTTCTTGGGCCACCCAGGCCCTTCCTGTCTCTGGGAACGTTGTCCCCGATGACACCGCTGTGGCTGGCTCCTTCTCGTCTAGCAGCTCTATCTAGTTCCACTGTCCTCGCCACCCACTCACTCCCAGCAGCGCCCAGCCACCCTTGTATTTTCCTCATGGCACCCGAGTCCACCTGCAGTCACCTTATTTATTTACCCTAGCTTTTTTTATCTGGGCCGCCTTCAGCATTCTGTCCTTTGCCCCAGCCATGGCTGCTCTGGTGCCCCGGGAGGAAGACCAAGAGCTCTCAATGCATGAGTGGGCACCTCTGCCACTCACAGGCCCCTGACATGGCTCCAGCAGCCTCGGGCCCCAGCTCCTGTAGCCTGAAGGTCTCGGTGCCACCACAGACGAGCTGATGCGAGGAGAGCAGCAATCAGAAGGCACTGCTTCTGCATAATTACCTGATCACCTTGGAGCGTCGAGGGCTGATTGTGGCTCTGTGGCAGCCACTGCCTGATTTTAGGGTGGTGGGGCTGGAGCCCTCCCTCACAGGCCTCAGAAGGGTAATTGAGGTAGGGCTGATTGTGCTGGAAAGCTGGAGGGGATCAAGCCAGGAGTACAGGGTATGTCACTCCCGGACAGGATCGCATTTGCTAAATCTGTTTCCCATGCAATTTTGCGATTACCCTGATTTCTCTTTAGCACTTGAGCCAGTGGCTGAGCTTGCGCCTACAGTGCTGGCTGTCAGGAGGCGCCGGCTGGGAAGAGGTGCACGGGATGATTTATGAGCCACTGTCAGCACCCCGGGAATGAATGGAGAGCATCTTGGGCAACCTGTGTGCGCCACAGTTTCTTAGTCTTTAGCTGAAGAAGACCCCAGCCTCACAGGGCCCGGGGGAGGTTGGACAATTTCCCTCGCTGGCAGGGACTGGACAGTGGTCCAACACCTTCAAGTGTACCACGGGCATGTGCCAGCCCTGCCTGGAGATGTGGGCGGAGACGAGCATCCCTGGGAGGCACCCCCACCTGCTGTGGCCATCTTTGGACACCAGAATCCTCACAGCTGATCGCTACCCCTAGCCCCTGGGATAGGTGTGGCCACCCAGGGATGCAGTGATGAAACGAGCTGGAGACCGGGTGCAGACCAGAGCTCTGCACCCGCAGAGGCTGCCCCAGCACATTCTCCTCTGCGGGAGCAGGCAGGGCTTGCTGGAAAGGCTCGCCTCTCCTTTGAAGGTTCCTCAGCTGCCTGGCCTATTCCACAGTGCCCCCAGGATGAGACAGTGTTCCCGTCCATGGCAGGGGCCCAAGACTCAGAACCTGCACTTAACAAGGGCCCGGGATTCCTGCCCCACCGTGACCAGCTGGGGACCAGGCTCCGAGGTGGGGCGCACGACCTGCCTAGGGTATGAGTCACCCAGGGTATCTCCCGTGGGGCTGGGCGTGGATGTCTTTTAGTCTCAGTTGAGGACTGTGCTGCGTCAGCAGGGCTGAGCACCCCATCCCAGAGACCCACCCCCTGCCCTTGGGGCACTGGACCACTTGTGGCCACAGGGCCAGGGCCCTGCTTGCTGTTTTGTTGTTTTGAGACAGTATTGTATGTAGCCCAGACTGGCCTCAAACTCGCAGTGATCCTCCTGCTTCAGGCTCCCGAGTGTTGACACCTGAGTAAGTTCTCAGGTGCTAGGGCCACCACCTGTGGTGTAACCCAACCCACTGCTCCTGCAGGAGCCCCAGCAGCGTCCCTCCCAAGCTGTCCTGAGTGTGGCTCTGTCACACTGCTGTAGCTACCCAACCAGCTAACAGGAGTCAGTCCTAGGCTCCAGACACCTCCCAGCAAGAAAAGCCAGAGCCAGGAGCTTTAGCAAAAATGTTTAATCTCTCCTTAATGTGTGTGTTTATTTACAAGTACTAAATCTGAAGAACAGTAAAATAGGAAATTGCCGTATATTTACACAACTGCGGGCGGAGCGCCAGTCAGCGGCCCTGCTTCTAGAGACAGCGCTGAGGGCTGGGGGCTCAGCCCGTACAAGTGACCGTTCTTCTTTTGGGTGGGGGCTCTGCGGCATTAAAGGACAGCTAATTGTGGGCTTTGTCTTAAAAATATCTTTCTCTCTCTCTAAATATATCTATTCTAGCTTGTATAGCACCAACGAGTGAGCTATCAGATCCGGGCTGGGAGGGACACACAGGGGCAGGGCCCTTGGCAAGGGGACCGCAGGGGCAAGGGCTGGGTCCTGGCCACCCCTGGCGCTTCATGCTGTGCATCCGGGGGCACCCAGGCCCCTCTCCCACACCACCCACTGTGGCCCCCTGGCCAAGGGAGAACAGGCAGGTGGCTGGGTGGTGCAGGGCCAGCTGGAGGTACTGGCGGCCTCGAACCCAGAGGCTGGGTCAGGGAAGGGAGCCTAGTGTTAGGAGGGGTGGAGCGGCTGGGAGAAGCAGGGCCATGGTGCGTAGCAATTCCAGCAGAGCCCAAGCCAGCCTGCGGAGCAGAGGTGCTCCTGACATCTCACCCCCCAGCACACGATGGGCTCCAACCCGGCCCCTAGGCCACCCTGGAGTTGGCAGCACCCAGCAGGGGCCAGCAGGAGGTGACCATGGGGTGTTTAGTCCAGCCCCTAGGGTGCTACACATTGGGGACCGTGGGGACTACTGACAAGAGGAAATGAGGGCCTAAGCCCAGGACCTGGCAGGCGGCATGGGCTCCGCAGACACTCGAGGGAGACCCGCTATCCTCTGACACAGCATGCTTAGAATTAGCTGGATCGTCGTGTGTGTAAACAGATTTGCTAAAGTGCTTGCGAGCAGACGCCACGAGCTTGGCCGTGGCCAGGGCCCCCCACAGAAGTCAGGCCAGGCAGGGCTGGGTGGCCGCACCCTCCTGCTGCCCACAGATGCTGCCCATGTGGGTGAGGCCGCCCAGCTGGACTGAGTGGGGCGCGAGTGCCCGGAGGCCTGGGGAAGAGCAGGGCTGGGACTGCACTGGAGGTGTGTGGGAGCTGAAGGGCCTACACGGCCCAGGCGGGACTGGAAGAACTGTGGGCTTCCACTTGAAGCCAGTGTCCAGGGAAGACTTCAGGGGAAACTGAGGCACGGCCAGACGGCATGAGAATGGACAGGGTACATAAGGGAAGGAATCCTGGAGGACGTAAGGGCTACAGCTCCAGCCCGGCCAGCCTCAGCTCTGGCCATTGGGGGGCTGGCAGGGCTGGAGGCGGCTGAGATGGGGTGCCCAGAACCCTCGGCGCCCCATGGGGTGGAAGAGCTCCCTGAGTCAGAAGTTCACCAACTACACACCGACCCCCTCACCAGGGAACGGCTCCTGACCTGACCTCCCAGGAGCCCCAACTGGCTCACACGGCTGGGGTTGAGGGAACCCCAGGGCTGGCAGCCCACAGGTGCAGGGCGTGCTGCCCTCCGCACTGGGGCTGGGGCTGGCCACAGTTAGCTGTCCCTTAAAGTCCGTTAGAATCTTTAGTACCATCGAAAAAGTGAATTCGAAAAGGGGGCTGCTTGTATGCTTATACAAGTGACTGATTAATTTAAAAAAAAAAACAAAACAGTAAAAAAGGGTCTAACCACCTCTAGATTCAACACTTGCAGTTTGAAAAAGATCAACTCAGACTAAACGCTAGCACGATCATGCAAATCCACAGGCCCTACGCACCCCAGAAGCTCTCAGGGGCTGGCAGCAGGTTGGGGCTCTCGAATCCTTTGTCCACAGCAAGCGTGGGGTGCCGGGCGGAGGCGGCCAGGCTTTGGGGCGAGGCTCCGGCCCCAGAAACCCAGCCACTCTCTCCCTGCCACCTGGTAATGCTCTCCCACCACCTGAGCTTTCTTCTACATTGTTTTTCGGACTTCTCCTTTTGTAACTGTACAGTACCCCACTGGGGCTGGAGATGAGGCCAGAGCCACATATATATATACACACACATACATATATATGTACAAGGTTCCGTTAAAAACTTGTTCTCTTGCCCGCTGGGACAAGGGGGTGGCAGCTGACACCAGGCCCTCAGTCCCTGCCCGTCGTCGCAGCCCAAGCTGTCCAGGCCAGCAGGGCCCAAGCATTCTGCCCTCACCACCCAGGCAGAGAGCAGCGGGATTTCCTGTTTCCCTTTAAAAACAAAGTCCCCAGTGTCCTGCTGCTCAGGAAGGGCCCAAGTGGAAGCCATGGCGGGAAGGGGCAGAGGCAAGGGCTCCGTGGTGGGGGGCTCAGCCCACCTTCAGGCCACTGCGCAGGAGCAAGAGGAGAGGGGAATAAATAACGGGAACATGCGCTCTGTGGCTGGAGCCCCAGGCCCGGCGGCTCCCAGAGGCACAGCCCTGAGGACAGAGGGGTCTGTCTGTCCATCCGTCCGCGAGTCCCTCGGAGCCATGGGCGTTCCCTCCATAGGAGGGGACAGAGCCTCCCAGGCAGGTAGACGTGGCGCTCCGGCCTTGGCCGCGCAGAGCACGCGGTGAATCTGAGGATGGTGAGGGGGCAGCAAGTGTAGGGTGCTGGACATGGAAGGCAAGATGGCTTTGGCTCATCTCACCGACCCCAGGCGTGCCCCTCCCACCAGCTGCCAGCTGGGCCCCGATCCTCAGACTTGGTCCGCTGGCAGCCGCCGAGGAGGACGGGACCACTGACCCCAGCCCTGCGCCCTGCCTCCGAGAGACAGGCAGGCTCCTGCCCCTCATGGGGGGGCTCTGGCCCTGGCCTCACCCTGTGGAGGCCCCTTCCACTCCTGTGAAGGCCCCCGGCAGCTCTCGCAGGCAGCAAAGGTCCCTGGGCAGAGGTGGCCAAGCAGGTGCCATCATACCCACACTGATAAACGCCTGGCCATGCCGTGAGGGCCCAGGAAGGGAGGCCGGGAGGATGATGGCCGTGTGCAGCCCCGAGCACCTCCTAGTTCTCCGCACGGTGGGCGCAGCTGTTTCCAGGGGTCCCCATTCTGCAGCCCTCTGGCTTTGCCTCCTGCTGGGCGGTCACTGGCTGGGGCTCAGCTGCTCAGGGCCATCGTGTCCACTACCTGCTCCAGTTTGCTGCGCAGCCGCTGCCGCCTTGCCTGCTCGTCCTTCTCCAGAGCCCCCAAGATCTACAGGTGCGGGAGAGGGGGTGGGGGCAGGGCTCAGAGGGGGCCCAGCAAGAGCCCCCCGAGTCACCAGGGGTGCGTGACATAGGGCCCTTCCACACGCGGCCACACTGCTGTCCCCTCCCTCTTGGCCTTCTCTGCACTGTACATGGAGCACAGGGCTCCTCTGCTCACCGGGACCCCAGCTGGTCTTTCTCCTCCACCCTGGCTGCTACCTGGGACACTCCCCACACTGTGTCCTCTCTTCTGCCCCTGTCTCCCGGCTGCTGCCCGCTAGCCTTGGCCTGAAAACCCCTCTGCTGAGCAGTGATCTCCATATCAGATGGGGTGGCTGGAGCTCTACTGCCCTCGAACCTGAAGATATGGACCTCAGACCAGCATCTCCTGCAGCCTCCTCATCTCCAGCTGGTGATCTGTCCTCTCACCGGTACCACCCTTAAGCCACCTGGCCTCGCCAGTTCTGACCACAGCAGGCAGCCTGGCCCTCTGCTTCTGAGTGTCTGGGTCCCTGACTGGCTTGGGGAAGTAGGCCAAGTGCCCCAAAGCCTGCACACCCAGAAAGGGTTCCCTCCGAGGGCAGCCTAACCATCCCCTGGGCCTCCTGCAGATGGCCACCCAGGCTACTCTGGCCTCAGTGCCTTGGAACAGACTGCAGCTGCCCTGCCCACAGCCCATGGACCCCAAACACAGCCCAGGAGCCGGCTGTCTTGTGTGTAGAAACCGGGAGGCTTCACACCCTCCCCCAAAGTCAGCGGAAAGCAGGGAAGGACGCACCCACCCTGGAGACGTCCCCCACCTCCAGCCCTGCGAGGCCTGTCACAGGTAATGCTGGAGACGGGAGAGGCAGCCACCCCTCTTGCCTGCACGCGGCTCACCTCATCCTTGTACTTGGTGATATAGGAGTAGATCTCATGCAGGGCGCTCATGCTGTTGAACTGGCTCAGATGCAGCCGTGACTGCTCGGCCAGGTAGGCGCTCATGTCCTGGTCACTGATCGCGGGCATCTTGGCGATGTCGGCATAGTACCTGCAGGTGGCCAGACGGAAGTGAGGGCCCCGCCCCGCCTGTACCCCCAGGCCCTCCCTGTGCCTGCACTGTACCTCTCCACCCAGCTCTTGTAGTTGGGGATGTCCTTGGCATAGAGCAGCTTGTTGGAGGGCGAGTCCTTGCCCAGCTTGTGCTCCGATGTGGAGCAGGAGTCCATGAACGTCTGGGCCACCACGGACAGGCAGGCATCTGTGATGCTGTTCTTGTGGATGTCGAACACGAACTGCGGGTTCTTGATCACGTTCACCCAGAAGCGCAGGGGCAGGCTGTGGACACGCAGGCCGGGGCTCAGCTGCCACCCTCAGGCCTCACTGTCCCTCTGAACTGGAGGGTCAGGCTTCCAGCCCACGGCCTCCTGATCCTGGCTTCCAAAAATAGTGCGACGCCATCTGATGGAAGCAGGCCCCAGGGTGGGGACAGTGCCCTGCCGCCTGCTGCCTCTCACACACATCACTCCCGCGCTCAGGGTGTGTGCTGTCACATGCGTCACAGCGGGCAGGACGCACAGACCTGGGCCGCACACTGCCCTGGCTCCTGGCCCGCATGCTGTGCAGGGACCCATACTCAGCTCTGGGCCCAAGGACGCAGTGCTATGGAGTCCCTAGCCCTAGGCCCACACCATCACCACAGAGATGGCCAATACAGGCCACCAAATGAAGCTGAAAGTTGAGGTCCCTGGTCACCCAGGCATGTTAAGTGCTCAAAGGCCATATGTAACTGGTGGCCACCACCCTGGATGGCTTGGTCTGGAACCCTCCGTAGGCAGGACTGTCCCAGGTGGGGTTGACTGAGAGGTACTGCTCCTCTGAGAGGGACACCCTCCACGCCCAGCACTTACCAGTTGCTCTTCCAGGTGTGGCGCACATCAGCATCATGGATCTGGTGCTTGTCTGCCTGCTCATCCAGGAAGTCAAACATGTACTTGATGGCCAGTGGCAGGGCTGAGCCTCGGTGTGCTGTGCTGAAGATGGTCTCAAACAGGTCATCCACAAACTTCTGCAGTGTGCCCTGAGGGCAGGTAAGGGTGCAAGGCTCCAGGGCTTCGCCAGCCACCAGCAGCCGCTGGGGCACCCGAGAAGGCCTGTTCCCAGCTCCCAGCAGGGTGGCACACTCAGATGGGGCCATGCCATCCCCACGTGCCTGCCGCCTACCTTGGTGGCCAGCAGCCGGGTCAGGTAGATCTCCGAGACCATCTTGCTGCCTCGGTCCCCCTCACGCTGGTCCAGGTGGTCATGGTTCTTCACCAAGTGCCACAGCTTGGTGCCGCTCTCCAGGTCGGGTGTGATCATGGGCGTGCGTGAGCGCAAGCTGTCAGGGCTGCTGGCCGTACGCAGCATGCTCTCTGTGGGACCCGGACCTGTCAGTGGGTGGCCTGTGTCCGCACCTGCACGGCTGCATCCAGGCCTGTTTCATCTGAACCCCGGGGACCTGCACCCACCTCCCCGGGCTGCTGGGGACAGCTGAGGAGGCCAGAAGGCAGCATTACAGGGTAGACACATGGCACGGGGCACGGCAAGCCTCCAGAATGCCAGTGCCCCTGAGTCTTGGATTCTGCCCAGGCCCAGGGCCACCCGTGCCCCTGCCCAGCCCCTCACCGTATCTGCTGAGGGACTTGGTGAAGGTGGAGGAGTTGGAAATGTTGTAGGCAGACGTTTGCTTGGGCACCAGTGCCACTGATGACCCATCTGTCACCTGCAGGCAGAGCGTGGGGACACAATGACTCCACAGGATGCTACAGAGACACCCTGCCCACCCTAAGGGCCTGAGTGACACCGCTGCCCCAAGCCCGGAGGTGGGTCACCTCACCGCCGAGCCAGGCTGCTGGAACAGTGCCCAGGGGGGCCCAGGACGGCACACCAGGACCTCTGCCCCCTCCTTGCCATCTGCTGCCAGCCCCAGGCTGGAGTGTCTCCTCGCCAGCAGTCCCGACACCAGCGCCGGTGACGCTCTGTGCTGAGGGAGGCAGGTTACCTGGTAGTGGGCCAGCGTGTTCAGCCTCTTCCAGTCGTTATCAATCTTGGTAGTGACGTCCTCGTCCTGCAGGATGATGCGCGCCATGCGGCCCTGGCGCCACTCTGTAGGGAGGAGGGCACTGGAGAGCGGGGCCGCAGGGCCTCGTTCCCTCCTGTCACCTGCCTGTGGCCCCCCAAAAGGTGGGGGACACCGGGGACACTAGGCGGCCCCAACCCCTGGCTCGGCCCCAGGGCAAGTCCCAACTAATGAGCTCCAGGCCCCACTCCTCAGCCAGGAGCCTGAGCCCGTCACGCTGGCCCTGATCCCAATCCGTCAAGCCACAACCGCTGCAGGACCCCAGAGCCCTAGCCCCTCGCCACACCCTCCCTCAGGCCCGTGTGGCTCCCATCCCAAAGCCTCTGTCCTGGCCAGAGAGCCCAGCTCCAGTGCCCCTTCCCCTGGGGCTTCCCACAGACCAGACCAGCAGGCACTGAGCCCTGCCTAGCTCCCCACCTAACTCAGCCCTGCACCCCGGATGGGCCCCGCCCGGCATGCCTCGGCACACACGGCGCCCTGCTCAGAAGCCCAGCCCAGCGACAGCCGCTCTGCTCACCGAGGTCCATGTCCCCAGCCTTGGGCCGCTGGGAGTAGGGCACCCCCTTGTACACAGCATCCAGCAGCTTCTCCTTGACCTGTGTCACGGTGTCACAGTTCAGCCCCTTCACCGGCACCTCAGGCGCGTTCTCATTCTCGGGGTTCACGCAGTTCAGGGTCTGTGGGGGTGGGGAGCGGCAGCATCAGCCCCCACCGCTCAGCCTCGCTGGCTGGGGGTGGGACAGGGGACAGGCCCGGGACACGAGGCCCTGCCGTGCTCACCAGCGTCTTGTAGTCGATCTGCTGCCGGATGAGCTTGTCCTCGCTCAGGGAGTAGCGCGCCTCGCCTGTGATGGCGTCGATGGGGCCCTTCTCCATCTGCTGCTTGATGGCGCAGTACAGCATGAAGAGCGGCTCCCCCGCGCACTCCTGTGGGGCCAGGGGCGTGAGGAACGGCCAGAAGCCCAGGCTCCCATGGCCCACGGCCCTCCCAGCAAGGACGGACAGCAACTCATGCCAGCTCATAGGAGGCCAGCGTGCCTCTGTGCCAGGGCTCAAGGGAGAGTGACCAGGAAGAGACGCAAGCAGAATCAGGGCCCCTCAAATGTGAATGTCAGACCCCAAATAAGCCATGGCCTGGAGACACAGGCGTGTGGAGAGGATGCAGCTGGGCAGGAGTGAAGGGTCCATGTCGCCCTGAGGCCACCCCCGGCCACAGCCTCGAGTCACTCAAGAGCATGCTCTCAGCACCCTCACAGGGCAGAGCCATGGGCCCAAGACACAGCAGGCAGCACCAGCACCAGGACACAGCAGTCCACAGTCCAGGCCTCAAGGACAATGGGGCAGCCTGGGCGCTTGGTGTGGTCTGCCCTGGCTCTGCCCTGATCTAGGCCCCTGGAACCCACACCACTGCCAACAAGGCCACCTCCTATCCCAGTGACCAGTCCATGGCCCTTCTGGGTCCTTCACATTGCTGCCTGAGGGCCTTTGGGCTCATCTACAGACATGGAGATCCAGTGCCCAGCAGGGAGCAGGGCAGGGATCAGTTGACATCGCCAACTGAACAGAATGAACGAGGAGGTTCACGTCGGCACAGCGAAGTCCAAAGGGCCAGCAGGCAGCGCTCAGCCAGGTCCTGCAGCCCTCACAGGCTGCCCCTGACCTCCGACACCTCCGCCTGCCGTGTCATTGGCAGGTTGAGGGCCCGCCTCCCATCCGGGCCTGGTAGACAGGCAGCTCCGGCCCTGTAACCAGATGCTCCGGGCACCTCGTTAGCATCTGCAGTAATTAAAGAGACAGCTGCTAAGGAACGGCCGCAAGCGCAGATCATCCCGAGACCTTCCAACAACATGCCTGTCTCTGAAATTACGTTTCATTTGCAAACTTGGCTTCATTAAGTCAGCGGAGAGGGAGGAGGGGAGGGGCGGCCATCCATAGGGGCGCTTCTTGGAAATGCATCTGACACAGAGTACCCAGGGACAAAAGGACTCCCAGGCCTGGACTCTGCAGAAGGCGAAAGGTGTACAGCTAGATTTCTTAAGGTAGGTGGAGGGAGGTCACTGCCCCAAGGTCACATGGTGGATGAAGTTGGTATTCAAATCCAGGTCCATCTGACCCCAGTAGCCCTCCTATAAAAGCTGGGGGTTCTCACGAAAGACATAGGCCCAGCCAGACTGTTTCTTCCTGAACCAGGCTACAGCCTCTGGAGCCATCAGAGATTCCCCAGAGGCCAGGGAGGAGGGAGGCCCAGAACCCTAGGCCTCCGAAGACTCACCTTCCCTCTCAGGGCCTCAGTTTCTGGTACAATGAGGGGAAGGAGGCAGAACTCAGCTTCCTCCAAGCCCGAGCTGAGAACAAGCAGAAACTGCCTAAGAAAAAGCACTGCTTTTGCTGTGAGTGGTGGTGTACACCTAAACCCCCTGCACTTTGGGAGGCTGAGGCAGGATGACAAGTTCAAGTCCTACCTGGGCAATTTAATGAGACCATGCCTCAAAACTCAAAAAATAAAAATAAGTAAAATGAATAAAGCAGGGAGTTGGGGATGTAGTTCAATGCAAAAGCCCTGGGTTCAATCCCCAGTACCACAAAAAATAAATCAAAATATTAAAATGGCACTTTTCATGCAGTAAGATAATCCAGGTAAGGGCATTTCAATAAATGCTGGTAGGGTAAGTGCTTCTCCATGTGGTGGGAAAAGCAAGATGGATCCCTACACCTCGGACCACACGTAGGTAAACATCATTTCTTAGCTATCACAGGGGCCATAAAAATGAAAGGGGGGACTTTTTGAAAAACTGCTATTTTAAAGAAATAACCCCACAGAAATGTGCAAAGGATTAAAAAAAGTGCAAACTTTGCTTCAAAGAAAAAAGGGGCTGATTAAGCATATGCGAAGATGCTCACTTTGCTAAAAGAAACTCCAACTAAAGCAATCAACTACCGACGCGCACTTATCAAACTGGCAAAGGTGCAGGCGACGGACACAGCCAGCACCAGCCCAGGCCAGGAGCCGAGACCTGACCTGGGGCATGCTTTCACACGTCACAAAGGAAGTGAACGTGTGGGTCCGCACTCTTCTCCCGGAAACCCCTTGTCCCCGCACTCAGCAAGCCAAGACCACCGTGCCAGAAGCCAGCTGGGGCGCTGGTTGCTGTGGGCAAGGTTCCACTCTCCCGACACCATCACTGTGTGACAGGGAAGTCAACCATGCACCACCCAGACCTCAGAACCTTACACAAATGACAAACACCTGCAAAAGGTGGGTCTGACACTCTGGTCAAGGGGTGGGTAGGAGATGAACACAGTGTCCGAACAGTGTTGGACCCGCAGGAGGATAAGGGCCCGACGCCAGGGTTTCTTATGTTAAAAGCCACTCAGGCTGGCAGTGGCGTTTCATCTGCAGTCTTGGCTTCATGAAACCATTGTAACTACAGGCATCAGCGCACTCCTATCTCAGCCTGCAGGCCATCCCCGCTGCTTAGGAGGCTGGGGCAGGAGGATCCCTTTAGCCAGGGACCAGTGTGGGCAATGCATGAGATCCTACTTTAATATTTACTCCCTCCCTCCCTCTCTCTCTCTCTCAATAGTTGCTTTAGTTCAGAAACCAGAGTGAAAGGACATGCACCGCAGCCATGGGTCACCTCTCTAGGAAAGTTTTGTTTCTAAGGACAGCAAGGAACCAAACATTTGGGGGGTTTTAAAAACAGTATGTGACCTCACAGTTCATTCGTGTCACAGCCTGAAGTTCCTTCCTGTTGCTTTAAATTTTAGTTTACCAATCAGTACGTGCGTGTGGTACATAACGGCTACACTCCTTGTACAGCTGGTGCGTGTACATAACCCCTCGATCCCTCCTCCATCCCCTTTCCTTTCCCTCCCTCCCTGATCCATCTATTTCTTGATCCTCTTGCTGTTTTTCATTAAGGCAGGAAATACATACATTTATGTTATATGGGAATAAAACACATGCCCAGACCCCCAGAGCACCTGCCTGAACCCACAGACAGTACGAAACCTGAGACCCCACACTCCCCCCTACACAGTCCAAGCCTTTTCTGGACCCAGTGTAAGCACCCTGCTGTGGGTGCAGTAAGTGGTTCAGGGGACCTGTTCGGGGGGACACTTTCTGCTCAGGTCCTGTGCCCACAAACGTAGTGCCTTTTCCATCTAAGCACCCACCACGCGCTATAGCTGTAATTTTAGTTTGAGGTGCGATGGCAAATCCAGAATAAATTTCTTTCTCCTTCCTCCCATTGCGTGGACAGAAGACCTGCCCTGACACATATCTCAGCAACCTCAGCGTTTGTCTCCTTCCTTTCCTTGTGACCTCAGGAACCTGCGCCTAATGGGTGCACTTTACAGCCTCTCGCAGACACATCTGAAGTGCCAGCCTCACTGCCCTGCGCCTGTATCAGGTGAAACAGGGTCACCTGCGCCCCAGCGTGTGATACTGTGACCCAACTACCCGGTCACCAGGACGGGAACTAAGTGACCAGTGGTGGGCAGCACGTGCCCGGGACAAAGGGACGGCTCACATTCCAGGACGGATGGCATGCAAGTCCACCCCACCGCTCAGAGCAGCACACAATTTAAAACCCATGCATCGTTTATTTCTAGGCTTCCACTGAACACCCCCAGGCTGCAGGCGACAGTGGGTAACTGCTGTGTGGTGCACACTTTGCTGATGGACGTGGCAGTGGGTGCTTTCACTCTGTGCCGAGTGACACGCACCTGTCACAGAAGACACACATGTGACAGCTGCACCTACACGGGTCCCTATAGTGAGAGCACAAAGCAGGTGGAAAGCAGAAGGGGCTGCCGGGGCAGAGGGCAGGGACAAGGAGCTGGGGTCCAATGCAAACAGATTCAGTTTTAGAAACTGATTCTGCAGATGGACGGTACTACGGATGCACTTGACGCTGTGGAACTGTGCATTTAAAAACGGTGGGAAGGTGGTGAGTCTCTCGTGTATTTTACCATAAATACTCTTCCTTAGAACAAGCCAAAGGTGGTAGTGCACACCTGGGAGGCTGAAGCAGGAGGATCAACCATTGTCTTACTAAAGACAATGTCTTAAAATGTAAAAACGTCTCGGAATATAGCTCAGTGCAAAGGCGCTTGGTTCGATGCCCAGTACCCCACACACACCGAAGAAAGCAAACGATCACGCGCTCCCCTTCTGCTGAGTGTCACGGGACAGCATCGTGCTGTCTGACCTCACAGCTGTGGACTGCAACTCACTGCCTGCCCAGCCTCACGGGACAGAACCATCTTCACGTCACGTGGTAGGACCACACTCAAACTCCTGCACACAGTTGCTACCAACCACACTTCCTGTTTGCGCCAGCGTAGATCCGAAACTCCTAAGCTGGCCCACTATTGGTACGCGGGCGATCCCCGCACAGGAGCCATCTCTGTACTTCAGGCTCGACTTCACTAGGAGCCTAGAAGGTCTCTAAATAATAGCCTATCTTTAAAAAAAGTTTGTGGCAAAGGTCAGGAGCCAGAGGTGTGGATGGGCTCAGGGCCAGGCCAGGCTCAGGGCCCCTCCGGGTGAGAATCAGCCAGCTTTCCTGAGGTCATAGCCCTAGCCCACCACTGGCTGGTGACTGAATACAGCCCCCATGGGGGTCTCGGGCCAGCTGTGCTGTGTTGCACCCTGTCCCTCGAGTGTGGACCTGGGATCTGGTGAGGTCAGAAGGTGGTTTGGCCTGGCTCGCCCTGGCTGTGGCTTTCAGCTGCATCCTCACTGCCTTTTGGGTTTATGGAACCCAACTCAGTGAGCACAGAGATGAATTACATCTCTTTACGAGCTGGCCTACATTGACAGGAAGCACCCACCTGTGAGCTATCTGAGCAGTTCTGCCCGGTAACAGCACTACCATTTCCTGGGCACTCACCGTGTGCCACGGACCACTACATAACACACACCCACGTGTGTCACCTCTCCAGGACCTATGACACCCCCCCACCTGCCCCCTGCTCACTCTAGCCCACGCAGTGCATGCACCTCCATCATCTACTCCCAGCGAGCAGATGCCCTGCACGGACTGCACTCCTGCACACATCCGTGAGCTGGTCACTGTCACCTCTGAGGCTGCCAGCTGGCTAAGGCTGCAGCAGCATCCCCCAGAGGCAGGACGGACGTCCCAAGTCCCAGGATTCTGTGAGGCAGGGATCCTCAGTTCAGGTGGCCACCAGTACCTGCTCCTGACCGCTGGCTCCACTGCCGGTCACCTACACTGCAGAGCATCAACGGGGCCACAAGGCATGCTCCATGCAGGGCCCCTTTGCCATGCCTTCCAGCTTTTTGAAGAAAGCCAGATGCCAGAGTCTCTGTGTCCCAATATCTAACGTGCAGCCAATTCAACAACTCCAACCCACAGAGTGTGTACACAAGCCACAGCCTCTCCTAAAGAATGCTGGCGCCCACCTACCAGGGTCTGGGGAAGCCCGGTGCAGCACCGCGCTCCACAATGGGCAGTGCACAGCGCCCTGAGGAACCCTAGATCAGCCCTGAGCCTTTGAGGCACCTGCCCAGGCCCTGCCTCCCTTGGGCGTGGTGCCTGTGTTCGAAGTCCAGCTCAGCCGCTGGCTTTGCACCCTCTGTGGGCTGGGCAAGAGATGGGCAGGAGGGACATTCATGCAGGGTGGGGCAGATGTATGTCTTGGGGTGCTCCTGCCCGGGCTGCACCCCAACTGCAGCCACTTCCTCAGCACCTCCCTAGGGTGCCCTGCTCCACTCTCTCTCCAGCCTCCCTTCCTGCATGCCAACTGACCCCTACCCTCAGGAGCCCCCTCTGCCAGCCCAGCCTACCTTAAGGAACTTGTACAGGAGGAAGGTGAACCAGTTGGTCAGCATCTTCTCGGCCACTGACTCAGTGCTGGGGGAGGAAGAACAGTGTGCCACAAGCAGGTGGCACAGTCCCCGCTGTCCACATCCCCACCCGCCACATCCACCACCCGCCACATCCACCACCCGCCACATCCACCCCCGTCCTACAGTGGCGGAGGTGGAGCGGGCACTGGCCGCTCTGGAGGTTGTGGGGCAGGACCCCAGCAGGCAGGCTCACCGGCGCAGCAGCAGCTTGGGGTGGTTCTTGCTCTCGAGGTTCTTCTCAATGAGGTCGGACAGCAGCTGCTTGAGCACACCTGTGGCGTACTCCATCTCACCCTGCAGAGCCGTCATGATGAGCGAGGCCACGTTGCCACGGTCCCGCATGGAGAAGCTGCGCTGGGCCTCCAGTGTGCGGATGAAGGTGAGCAGGAAGTGCTTCTTGGTCAGCAGCTGCCCGAACAGCGTCAGTGACTTCTCCACGTTGGCCTGCACCTGGGTGAGCACGTGCCTGCTCATGCTCTGCTGCCACAGAGCCACGGCAGGTCAGCCCCCTATCCCAGGTCACCGCTGGGTGCCAGGACAGCATCCTCAGCCTCCCTGCTCTCAAGGCAATGCTCCACACAGAACCCCGCCCCACCCCCTGGATGGGGAATGAAGTCCAGAGAGGACACGGGCCCCCAGCATGGGATGGGTAAGAAAGTGGAGCACAGAGGCGGGGGCGCTCCTGGCCTGCAAATGGGGCCTGAGTGCTCGGGACCACTTCCTCGTGGTACTCAGGGCCTGCAGCCTGGGCACTCAGACGTTGACAGCACAGCCCAGCTGAGGGCTGAATCTGCATCTGCTCCCACCAGTGGACAGAGCAGACTCTGGTCAGGCTGGCACTGCCTGTAACAGGGCAGTGAGCTCGCTACCAAGGCCATGTCTGGAAGCTTCAGGGGCCTAGGCCAGCGAGCAGTAAGCCCAGGTTGGAGAAGGCTTGTGAGGGAGAGGAGCCACACCACGCAGGGCCCTGCCTCAGCCTCAGGCCTCAGGGTGCCCCTGAACGTTCAGCCCCTGCCTTCCAACAGCTAGGCTGGGCCCCGAGCCCGAAGGAGCTGGACTGTCCCCTGCATAGCTGGACTGTACCCTCTGAGCTTAGGGTGCAGCCAGCGAACACACCTCCATCTCCTTGAGCACAGGGTGGTCCTCGATCCCGGGGAAGAGCACCCGCATGGCATAGGTGCGGTAGTCAAGGAACGGGATGCCCGCACCGTCCAGATCATTGGTCAGCTCGTGGATGTCCGTCTGCAGCTCTGCAAAGGCTGTGGCCAGGCAAGGTGTCAGAGCAGCCCTGCCCCTTCCTCCTACCATCAGGGCCAGGGTCCACCACAGTGCCTCCCTGTGCCACAATTCTCCAGTCCTAACACGATAAAAATCCTCTGCCTTGCTGGGCAGTCCTGGGATTCACCAAGCAAGAGCAGAGCAGCACCAGGGCTGCCGGCCGCAAGACCTCCTGGCTCCCCGACACCCGGAGAGGGCAGCCATGGGCTCCAGCCCTCACCACTCCAGGGAAGGGCGAGGCCAGGGCCGGGTGGTGTGCAGCAGATGTCCCGGGGCCAATGGCTTCAGGGTGACCCTAGGCTCCCAGCAGCCCACACTGACACCTGCCCCCTGAGCATCTTAGGCCCCAGGCCCCTCAACAGTCACCCTGTGCTCCGCCAGCTCTGTCTCTCAGGAACAAAGGCGGGCAGGCCCAAGGCCCGCAGAGCATTCCCGAGCTGTGAGCTATGCACAGCCGTTGGGGTGCGCTATCTGATCCAGAGCCAGAAGAGCAGGCAGCTCCAGGGATGGTGGGGCTTTAATTAGAAGCCAGGCCTTCATCTCCTGGCACTACTGCCTGCCAGGTGTCTGCTGATCTCCACCTGGCAGCTCCAAAGAAGCCTCTGTGGACACTCGTCTTCCACAACAAGATCCAAGGGAGCCCAGGGCCCGCCTTGCGCCCAGCCCCCACACACCTGCACCCTGTCCCGCCACAACTGCCCCCTCCCTAAGCAGGGGGCCACTTGGGTCAGGGGGGTGCTCCTAGGATGTAGGTCTCAAGTTTTAAGACTAGCCAAGTCCCACCGGGCATGCGACACTCGCCTATAATCCCAGCACCTGGGAGGCTGAGGCAGAAGGACTGCTGTGAGTTCAAGGCCAGAGAGGGCTATACAGTGAGTTCAAGGGCAACCCTGGCTATGTAGTGAGATCCTATCTCAACTCCCCCTCTGAGAATGACTGGACATTCTGTCGCAGTATCCAGGACCTGCCAAAGCTGCTAAAGACCCCACACTGGAGTGCTGCAAGTGCCGGCCCAGTGTCGCCTCCAGAGCTGCAAGCATCTCCCAGTGATCACCTGCACATGCCCTGCACAGCACTGGGGGATGTCCTACAAACGTCAGTCACCAAGACCATTCCATTCTTCCTCACAACCATGACTTCTGTGCAGTGGTCAAGAGGCCGACAGGAAGGAGGGGTACATGGGGCTGGCCCAGTGCCTAGGGGACCCAGGCCAATATACCACCACACCCCAGAGGGCAGCCCAGCTCCCTGCTGCAGAGCCAGCCCCACCCAGCAGGTGCTGCCACAGCCCAGGGCCTCTGAAGACACCAGGACCCGGGGGCTCAGCAAGGGGCCCTGCACATCCCAGTCGTCACACCCACAGCCCACGGTCTGCAAGCTGAAGGTCACAAGGCCAGGCTGTGCTGGGGGGAGTGTTCAACCACGGGCATGCGGGCTTCCCTGTGACACGCTGGGCAGAGATGGGTGGTCCTGGGTGGGGGACCCTGCTGCATCCTACACAGGGTCCTGTTCTAGCTGCGTTCCCATCCTAGCCATTCCTTCCACCCTTTCCTAGCCCTCAGCCAGCACAGCTATGGTCCATGCAGGCTTGGGATCCACCACCCTGGCCCATACGCCACTGGATGCTGGGGTCTAACTCTCTGGTAAAAGCTTTGGGGGCCCAGGCCCAAGGAAGGGGAGCTGTGAGGCCAGGGATAGCCATCAGGGGGAGCTCAGCGAGTGGGCCTCAGGCTGCTGGGCTCTTGCTCTCTGCCACGCTGTTACCCAAGCCAAGCACATGTCCAGGGAGGGGCCACATAGGAGGCTGGCTACTGCGCCTTACACATGCCCTGCATAGAAGCCCCAGGCTGCCCCCTCAGGAGCCAATGTCTGCTACTCATACTCAAGGGTTGGGATGGACACACTGCCCATCTTAGGAGCACGGCATAGCCAGCTCAAGGACAAAAGGCAGTGTAGGCTGAGACCTGGGGGTGAGGGGGACCTTCCCAGGCTGCAGACAGGAGCAACCCAGGCAGCATGGGTACGTAAGTTCCAGCATCCTACAGACCCCGCCCTGTCCATCCTCATCCCAGAGACATGGGTGCTGCCACTGCACTCACCCAGCAGATGAGGAGACCAAGGCACAGGAGGTCGCATGACCCAATGTAGCTGTGAGGTGGAATCTGCTCTGCCAGGCCCCGACTCACCTCCTGGGCACTAGGCTGAGCACTGCAGGGCACCAGCCAGCAGGTAGGCCAGGCTACAGACAAATGTCAGCTGCCCGGTGGGCCCTGAGTGCCACTCCGACTGACCTTCCTTGCACTCGAGGGCCACACGGGACTCCAGGTTGTCCATCTGGAGCTGCAGCCGCTTGAGGGTGCGGTCAGCGTCACGGGACTTGCGCTTGTAGGCGATGAGCACGGCCACGATGACCAGCAGCAGCAGGCCCCCGCCCCCACCGATGCCCACGATGGCGGGCAGCGTCAGCAGGCTGTCCGAGTACACTTGCAGCACGCCCGGTGAGAACTCAAAGCCACCTGCACGCACCTGCAGGTGGTGGAGGGGGCTCAGAAGCTGCCCGTGCCCATCTTAGAACCCAAGGACCACAGGCCAAGGTCCCTGAACCCCAGATGGCACCTGCTTAGGGGTGATGTCCCACCAGCAGGGGCCCAGAGTGGCTGGCAACATGGGGACACTGAGACCCAGGGGAGCACGCAGCTGAGCAGGGACTCAGCAGGTGGGCAGTGGGGGTGGGAGGAGGCCATGGGCACATCTGGGGCTCAGTCAGTACTGGGGTTGCCCCGGTTGGGACAGGAGGGCCCAGGGGACTGGGGCTGGAGCCGACTTCCAAGCCCTGCCCTGTCCAGGCGGGCAGAACGGTGGACGCACCGTGACCTTGTGCTGCCCCGTGAGGTTGGGTGACTCGCACAGCAGCTGCGTCTCCGATACAGTGAGGATGCACGGCGTGGAGCCGATGAGCACCGTGTAGTTGAGCCTAGAGTTGCCGGGCGCAGGTGGCAGGAGGTTCCGGCCCTGCGGAGGTGGCAGTGAGTGGGACAGCCGCGCTGAGCGTCCCTTCTCTGGACTGCACCCTGCACCAGCCCGTCCGCCCTGCTCAGCTCTGCCACGCACTCTGCAGGACGCCCGGGGGCCGAGCCCACCTTGAGGATGAGCGGGGAACTGGGCTTGAGCTCCAGGAGGCCAGTGGGGCTGAGCGGCTCCAGCACGGGGTCGGGGTAGTAGACGAAGGAGGAGGAGTTGAGCACCAGCAGGGCACGCACGTTGTCCATGATGAAGCCCAGCTCGTCCGGCCGCTCCCCCAGCTCTGGCGGCGTGCGCGTAGGATTGTCCACAGACGGCGCCCGGCACACCATAGTGGTGTCGTTGTACACCATGCAGCTCTGGGAACACAGCACAGGGACACGGGGCCAGTGCTTCAGAGGGGCAGGCAGCACACCCACGACAGAACTGCAGCCTGGGAGTGCCAGCACCAAGGGTGCGTCCCCGAGGCGTCCCCATGAGGGCTCAGGAAGGGACGGCCCAGACTCCACGCACAGCCCGGGCTGGCACAAGCAAGGAAGGCCCACGTGCCACGTGCGCCCCAGATGGGCACAGGTGCAGACTCACATTTTCTCGCTCGACACCTCCATACTTGGCTCGGATTCGGGGCTCGCGGACAGTGGCCAGATTGGTGCCCGTGACGGTGAGGAGGGTCCCACCGCTAGAAGGCATGAGGAGTCATCGTTCCATGCTCCAGCCAGCACACAGGAGGTGACAGGCACACAGCCCAGAGTCCCTCCCCAGAGCTGCCAGCAGGGCCAAAGCCAGTAGGGAGCCGCCAGCAGGCACCCAGTGGAGGGGCTCCCAGGCGAAGAGCTCCCGGCCAGCAGCGGGGACAGGGACAGGGAAGGGGCGGCGCTGCCCACCTGTTGATGCTCCACTCTGGCTCGATCTTGAGGATGGTGGGGTCCTCCGTGTAGTTGTATTTCACGTCAGGGTTGGCGAGCTGGGCGCGGTTGATGTTAATGAGGATAGGGGCACTGCCCGGGCTCTGCCCAGGGGGCGTCAGGCACCGGATCTCCCGGGAGTTCCTCCTGGGGGCCCAGGGCACAGTGAGGTGGCATCCGGAGGCCAGCAGGGCACCGCCATGGTGAGCTAGCATCCAGCTCCCCAGGAGTGAACCGCACGACCACGGGGAAGGGGCCAGCTGCCCCAGTAGTGCTGTGGCCACTACTTCTACCACATGGGCCGGGGTGTCTGGTGCTGCCCTTGGCCCTGAGGCCAGCCCCTCCGTCCCCATCCACCCTGCCTGGCACGTGGGACATGGCCTTCACGCTGGCTCCCTTGGCCTCTGCCACAGAGGTACAAGGTGGCCCTGCCGCGGCCCTCTTCAGGTGACCCCAACCACGGCTCCACCGCCACCGGATCTTGGCCTTCTCCCGGCTCCAGGCTGCCCACCTGCCCCCTTGAAGCCACCTGACCCTGCAGACAGCCCTGTCCTCTCCCGGGAGGCCAGTGAGCCCAAGCCCCAACCTTTTCCTCCTGCCCTATCCTGGGGACTGGGGGCCCTCCTCCGTCCCGACCTTGAACACGGGGCTTTATCCCCACGACCCTGGGCCACAAGGAAGTGACCCGGGCTGGGCAGTCGCAGGGTGACCTCCACCGGGCACGAGCCGGGCACTACATGCACCTGCACCCTGTCCCCTTGGCTCCTTTGCCACAGCCAGGAGGCCCCACAGCCGCCAGGCCCCGTTCGGCTGCAAACACCGATGATTAGTCTGATAACGGGTAATTACCACAGGAAAATATTTAAAGGGCCGTTCAATTATCATCCCTAATCTAAAATTATCCACTTCAAGCCTCAAGGCTTTTGTTAAGATGTCTGTTTTCTCTCTTAAAAAAAAATTTCTTTTGAGTACTTCTTATTTTGTTCCCAAGGAGTCCCCCTCCAGGCAGGACCGAGGAGGAGGCAGCTGGGCTGTGCCTGCCCCTGACAGCCCAGGCCCCACCCCCAGCCGGCTGTTCTCCTCCCTTTCCCACTGTGGAGGTAGCCCCAGTCTCCATGGTAACCTTCTCCGCCTCTGGGTTTCCATAGTGATCACCCCAGCCAGGCTCTTCATACCCCGTTTCCCAGGCAACGGGAGGGGGCACACAGACATGTGAACCAGGAGTTCAGTCCTGGCCCCCAACCAGCAGGAGAGGCCAAGCAGGCTCTGACCCCCAATCCCACCTGCACCCCGTACCAGGAGAAGGAGCAGGGCCGGCCACCGATGGACACAGCCACATCACTGCCCGCGTTCAGGTGGCTCCCCTCGATGCCAATCCAGGTGCCCCCGGACAGAGGCCCACGGGAGGGACTCACGCGGTAGAAGGTTGGTGTCTGCAGGAAGAGGGAGGTGTTTGAGGGACATCCCTCTTGGGCCATGCAGGGACACTGCTCACACTGCCAGCTTTGCCTAGATGGAGTGGACTCTGCAGGACCCAGAGGTCCGCCCCACTCTGTACGCCCGGGGCTCAGACCCAGCCCAGGTGGGCAGGCTGGGAGGGAGGGGACAGCACACAGGCTGGGGAATGGGGGTGAACTGTGGCCAACCAGGACAAGGAGGGGTGAGCCAGTGGGCTGCACCCAGCAAGACCTTAGAGCACCCACAGTCACTTCCCACCGGCAAGGAGCAGAGGGCGCAGGGGAGGGACTTACCACGAAGGTGAAGCGCTTGGGCGACAGGGCCCGGTAGTGGGGCGAGCAGTCGCGCACACACACCTCCACCAGGGCATCATGAGCCCGCACAGAGCTGGCGTCCCCGATCTCGCAGACGATCCTGTGGGCATCAGTCAGGCCTCAGCTGCTGCAGGGAACCCAACCCGGAGAAGGCCTGGCCTGGCCACCCCTCCTGGGCCACACTCACTGCTCGGCGCTGATGTACTCGCTCTCGACAGGGCTGCAGAGCACCTTGCCCACACGCACACCCAGCCGCACATCCTCGAACCGCAGGCCCAGGTTCTCGCCGGTGATGGTGAGCCGCGTCCCTCCCTGTCGGGGGCCCGTCTCCGGTGACAGCTGCGGGAAGGCAGAAGCTGGGGCACCAGCAGTGGACAGCAGCGGGCCTAGGGGAGGCCCCACAGTGGGCAGGTGGGTGGCGGGAAGACGCAGGCTGGGCCTACCTTGAGGATCTTGGGGTCTGTGCAGCGGCTGCTGCCATGGCGGGCATGCATCCAGGCGGCAGGTGCATCGTACGGGCAATGGTGGCGCAGGGAGCAGCGGCGCTCGGCTACACACCAGCCACACTCAAAGCGTGGGTCGGCTTTGAGGCAGAGGCCACAGCTCTCCCGCTGCGCAGGGCACTTGTAGAGGTGGGCTGTGGCAAGACGCTTGGTCAGTGGGACCCCGTGACCACCAATCCGGACCCAGGCCAGCCCCCGACGCTTACCCTGGATGTTCTGGGGGTTGTCAATGACAAAGTTGCCGTTCCACACGACCGACAGGTTCACAGGCAGGTCACTGATGTCATTGCCCTCATAGGAGTACTGTAAGTGGTAGGCACCGTGGTCAGGCCTAGGGAGGGTGGCTGGCCACCCCCTTCCAGCCACCATGGAAGGTCAGGGTCTGCATGCCTCTCTCGACCTGCACAACTGGCTGTGGGGCAGGCCTGGTGGAGCCTGGAACCCAGAATAGGCATGGCCAGCCTGGGGTCTGATACCCACGGCTGTCACCAGCCTGCCCAGAGTTTGGATGACAGGGTTCACGTCCACAAGCACCCCAGCAGCCCTGCCCACCCCAGCACACAGGGTCTCCCTACTGCTTCTGTGGCCCACACTCTCCAGGAAGCCTGTCTCCGGCAGCCACATGTGCTGTCCTGGCAGAGTAGATGCCCTGCTTCCCACAGTCTGCCCCACTCCTGGCCTCTCAGGAGAGCAACTCCAACCGTGGGGTGCCCTCAGCCCTGCTGGGAGTCGGAACCCCCATCTCCCTCTGCGACTCAGCCAGACCCGCCCTGTGTGTCCCTGGGCCTTGTCACACTTGGCTCTGTCCCAGCCCCTCCCCAGGCTGCTCTCGGGGTAACTGCCCCTCCTCGGGGGCTGGGTCTAGTACTCAAGCTTGTGCCCCACTTCCTGCTGCCAATGACTTCAACCCAGTCCCGTGCTCAGGGTGGAAGCAGGAGGCCTGTGTCTCCAAGGGGTGCAATGGCAATTCACTGTTACTTTGCAGGAATTTCATTGGTTTCCTATCAAACTCCTGATACTCCCTCTTCCCTGAAATGTGGAGGCAAGAGGGATGCAGGGCTGGGAAAGGGGGAAGGGAGACAGGATGCGGAGAGGCAGAGACAGAGTGAAGAGTGAGGACAGGGCAACAGTCATGGCGGGCACAGGTCGGGGGCAGGCGCGCGAGGGAAGGGGAGCCGTTGAGCAGAGGCCTCCTGGGCCTCTGACCCCAGCATGGCCCCTCTCTGGGACCCCGTGCTGCGGGCAACCGGAGCCCTGCCATCAGCTATGCCTGATGCACACCCAGGGTCTGAGCCCATTCCAATCCAGGGCTCCTCTCCCCGCAGCCCTCCTGAACAGATGGGAAAACAGGCCAGCCAGCATCAGTGGGCCAGAGGAGAAGGTGGGACCTGAGCCTGGGCCTCTGACATGTACCCCGCAGCAACCCACCAGAGGGAGTTTCTGGCAAGACCCCCAGCACCACACTCGGGAGTGCTTTCAGGGCGTCACCATGTGAGAGGGAAGCTGGAAGTGGCTTCTTGGCTGCAGATGGGCACCAGCAGTGTCCACATTTGACCACAGGGCAAGAGCACAGTTGGGGGCCCTGGTGCCCACTGACCTGCAGGGCCCGGGCACACCTGAGGGACACGCATGGGTGGCAGGGGGGTCAGCCCGTCCGACTGGTCCCCGCCCACCGCTCACCGAGGAGTTCTGGCACTGCAGGCTGGAGCTGTTGAAGCGCAGGGCAGTGACGCGGGCAGGGCTGCCTGGGATGTGGAAAAGGCACTCGTACCCACGCTGGCCCGACTGCGGCTGCGGCAGGTTCCGGGCAGCCAGGGCGATGGGCTTCACCACGCCCACTGGCACGTAGATCTGGGTGGAGGGCAGGATCTGGGGGCAGTCCTGTCGGGGACAGGCTTGGGGTGAGCACCGAGGCAGCCCCCACACCGCAGGACCCCATCTGGCCTACAGCTGCGCAGGCCCTTGGGGCAGAGAAGCCGGAGTGGGGTCCTGGGGCTGCCAGCTCTCCGCTGGGGCCTGGGGAGCAGGCAAAAATAGCAGGAGCCCAGCAGAAAAACAGCCAGGGCCCTAGAGGCTGGTGTTTCAGCAACAATAACTGATGCAACGGCCCGGTGCCCTTGCAGCTAGGCTGGCGGCCGCCCCAGGAGCCGAGCTGAGGGAGGCCAGGAGCTGGCTTTAAATAGGAATGCTGAAAACAGACTGCGGTCCCTATGCCCCAACAGCTCCCACTGTGGGCGCAGGTCCCACTGCCCTACAGGGATTTCCAGGGCCCGGGAGGGGCTGAACTCTGAGCAGACCTGGAGGGCCCTGCTGGGCAAGCTGTTCCCGCTCCACAGGACCTGAGGAACACCCTGTGCCCACCAGCCACGGGCTCTGAGTCAGGCTGAAGCCCATGCAGGGAGGCACTGGCACACAGCAAGCCGTATCTACCCGGCACTCCTCAGGCCATTAGAGGGGCACTCATGCCTCTATACCCCAAGACTCAGTCTCTGAGATTCCTTTTTAGTTTTCTGAAACAGGGTCTCACTATGTCGTTCAGGCTGGCCTTGAGCTCACTACATAGTTCTGGCGGGCCTCCAACTCACAGTGAGCCTCCTGCCTCAGCCGCCTGAGTGCTAGCATTACAGGCGTGCGCCACCATACCTGGCTTTTAGATTCCTAGAAGGTCCCAAGTATGAGCCCCCTGGAGCAGGCTAAGGTTACACTAGGCCACTCCCCCCGCCACCAGTGAACACCCCAAGTGAGGAGCCATGGGGGATCTCTGGGCCTCAGCCCGGCCTGGGCCCCAGTGCCGCTCCACCCAGCTCCTGCTTGCCCGTCATCTCCTTAACATCCAGCTGCTGCGTCCCCCCATTACACACTGCAGAACTGAGGAGCAGCCACAGGCGGGAGAGGCCGCACACCCACTGGGCACATGGACTCAGGCCTGTGCTAACCCTTCTCCAGCCCCCTGCTCCACAGGCCCTGCTCTCACGGACAGTCAGGGTGACTGCTTGGGTCTGCTGGTGTCAACTCAGAGTCAGCTCTGGCGGCTTGCCAGGCCTGATGGAGACCGTCTCCCAGCACAGTTCACCCAGGAAAAGGCCACAGGTCCCGGGGAAGGCTGGGAGAAAGATCAGCAGCACACATGATGGCCCGAGTCCCTCCTCAAGGGCCCTGGAGTCCCTCCTGATCAGCGCGCTGGGTCCTGCACTGGATTCCATGTGGGAACAGACTGAGAGGCTGACGGCCTTCGTGACCCAGGTGAGACCTGTGGCCCAGCTGGGCCTCCTTATACAGAGTGAGCCAGGATTCAGCAGACCACCAGCCTCCTGTCTACAGAAACCACAGGATCATGCTCAAGAGAACAGGCCACAGCAGGGCAACAAGGCTACCTGGGGAAAGTACCTCCTCACCAAGCTCCTGTCCCAAGAAACTCCAGCCACACTGCCCACTTGCACAGAAAGGCCTGGAAAAAGCATCACTAAAGAAAATCCTCAACCTCTCAGGGGCACTAGGCTGGGTGAGAGCTCTGCTTTGGTAGGCCCATGAGGGACCCTCCTGCCCCACCACACAGGACCACTTCCTGGACACCCTCAGCCTTAACATCCTTCCTCAAGGAGCAGCCAGAAAGGGAGTCCTCAGAGGTTCCTTCGGATTACGGTGGGTCCTCAGAGGTTCTTTCGGATTACAGCAGGGTGGAAGGTAAGCCAGACTCCAGGCTGGAGAAAGGGGTCCTGGGCTGGGAAATCAAGGAGCTCCTGCATGAGGCTGGTGTCCATGGGATCCCCGGAACCAGACAGGACGAAGGGGAACCTGGTGATTGTCATCATGCATGCCAGTCCTTCCAAAAGGTTTTGTTCGCTGTATTCCTAGGGAACATCCCCGTTCACACCGGGATACAGCTCGACATTGCTGCACTGTGGGAGGAATTCACCTCCCCAGACGACCCTCACTGGACCCCAGCGCTGCGTGGACAAACTCAGGAGAGGTCTACATTTCCTGTGCTACCTGCCCTGGCCAACATGCCGACAGCCCTCCCAGGATGAGGCTGCACTGGAGCTGACAGCTTGACAGAGGGCGGGGTCAGAGATGAACACACCACAGAGCACTAAGCTGCCTCGGCCTCCAGGGCCACCCACCATAGCCATGACCACTGCTGCTCCAGGCAGCCACAGCTGCAGGGACCTCTGCACCCTCTCGCCAGCCTACAAGGGCCCTGGGACCTGGCTCATGGTTCCCGCCTGTCCTGGATGCCTTGGCCCAGCTGCCCAGCACCCCCGGAGCTGCCTGCCCCTCCCCACTGCCATCCTGTCTGCTGATGACATTGTCGCACCAGGGACAGAAAAGCTGAGTGCAGAGGGTGACAGTGGGGTGACAGGGAGGCCACGGGGAGGTGCGAACTCAGAAGAGGGAGGCACCAGGCCTTGCATTCTGCCTGGCCCTGCACGCCCCAGGCTCCTGGGACACCAGGGCAAGGCCAGCAAATGTCTCTGCAGCCCAGGGTCCTCCCCATCACCCAAACTCACCGGACTGGCCTCAGGGCATCCCCAGCCTCACAGACCTTGTAGCCAAGCCCCACAGCCCGAGCCTGGTCACACCCACGTGGCATGTGGCCGAACTCCCACAGCCCAGCTACCCCTAGGTGCTCTTGGCCAGAGCCCTGGTGACATGTAGGTGGGGCAGGGCACTGGCCTTACCTCGGACACGTTGACACGGCCCTCCAGAAAGGCGCAGTCGGCAGCGTTGTGCGTGCACACGTGGCGGTACTTGCACCAGTGGCAGGGGAAGGAGCCGTTGACACAGGACAGGCAGCTGTGGGCAAGGCGGGCTGATGAGGCTGGGGACGAGTAGGGCCTGGCTCCTCCCCTGGGGCCGAGGCTGCTCTGGGCTGAAAGGTCCCCCGACCTGAGGGCGCAGCCCCCTCTGCCTGCTGTGGGATCCCCCACCCTGCGCGGCCTTCCTCTCCAGAGCTGCCATGACCACCGGAACCCCGCTTTCACCAACTAGACCTAAATGTAGGCCGCAGGCAGCTCCCACTGCACTTGGCAGGGCTGGGTCCATATCGGCTCAGGCACAGGGACCAGGCCCAGGCCCCTCCCAGGCAAGCTGCTGTCCCTTTAATCTTACATGTCTGGGCCCATGACAAGCTGGCCATCACAGGCGCTGCCGGTGCAGCCACACACCAGGCCGGCAGCCTCTGCCTCCTCCCCGTGTCTCCCCTTGTCTTCCCTCCGGCCGGCCATCCTGCTTCTCCAGAGACACTGAGTTCCCGAAGGCCTGACCATACAGTCCCTGTCCCAGACACTCCCCCACCCCAGGACAAGATAATGTGCCCCCCAGAACGGAAACACTGCCTGCCACACAGCAGGGCTCCATGAAGAGCTACAGGTCCATCTGAGGTAAGTCAACAAACAAAAGCACAACTGAAATACCGTGCAACTCTGCTTTCTAAGGCCAAGCTCTGCTGCCCGTTAGGGGCCTCCTCACCACCACAACGCCCCTGCTGTACCACAGGGATAGAGCTGAGGGCTCCCATCTTGGTCCATGGCCCCCAGCTCACAAAGAACCCATGCACCTCAGCCTCCCCCTCACAGCCCTGCCCTGCTGCCCCACCACCTGGCTGACTGCCCTCACATGGCCTCATCTCCCTCCCAACACCAGCAGGTCAGGGCAGAGGTGACCAGGACCCAGAGCCGGGAAAGCGCAGGGGCCCACGGCAGGCAGGGACACTCACGACTGGTGGACGCTGCAATTGTAGAAGACAAAGTCCACAGATGCAAACTTCTTCCCGGTCTCCTTGGACTTCAGGTACAACTTCACCACCCGCTGGTCCCCTGCAGAGCAGCACAGGTACATCAGCAGAGTCGCCAGGACCACACACAGGGGACAGCCCACCCTCTTACTGGGCTGGGCAGCAAAGGAGCAGGAATGGCACAGCCTCTGCCTGCCGGGCCCAGGTGGGAAGTCTGCAGAGGGCTTGCTATGGGTCACAGTAGAGGGCCCGGTGCCACACCCCTCCAGGTGCCACAGCGGGGCAGAATGCCTCCCCACAACCCACCCCCAGCCTCTGACCACACAGCTGCCCCCCAGCTCTGTGGGTCCCGGAGAAGTCGAAGGCCTTTGCCCTTACCACCCTCTGGGCTATGGACCCTGCCTGCCATCCCCTGTGACTGTCTGGCCCTGCGCCTGCATTTCCTCTACCCCAAGAGGAGCAGCTGGGGAGAACCCTGACGCAAGCGACACAGTCGTCATGAACCAGCCCTCGGAAGGGACCTTGAGGACCCTGACACCCACTGCCAGCCTCTCGGGCACAAGGGGCAGAGGAGGGCACTCACCCTGGCCCCGCGTGATGGGCGCCACCTCCCACGAGGAGGGCGAGCGGCAGTGGATGCGGCCATCCTCCAGGACGCCCTCAGACTCCGTGAAATCCTCAAAGGAGCAGTTGACGCCAGCAGAGAGGTCAGGCACGTTCCAGGCCTGCAGCACGAGCTGGGACGGCAGGCAGAGGCAGGTGAGCAGGCGCTTGTGGCCAACTTGCCCTGCCACCCGCTCTACCCACCGGCACCCTCCAGATGGCCACACTCACCGGCACTTGGGACATGGTGACCGACACGTTGTGCGGCTGTACGGTCAGCTGTACGCACTGCAGCAGGTCGGAGGCAAAGCGCTGGGGCTCGTCCGCCCGCTCACATGCATCCTGCCTCGAACAGCTGCAGTCCAGAGGCACTCAGGCTGGGCAGGGGGCCTACTGCACTCCCAGCCCTCAGAGGTGACATTCCCACCCCAAGTTAGCAGGGCCAGGGGACACAGAAGAGCCCAGGGGAGCTCAGGCTGTCTGAGGCCCCAAAAGGTGCTAAGACTCCACCCAGGGTACCCACTCACTGCCGCCAGACTCACATGCTATGCAGGACACACCAGCCACAATGGGGGTCCCGGGACCCGAGGCACAGCTCGCATGACGTATACTGCACGCAGCTCTCCACCGGCACCCGCGTCACCTGGGGGGCCAAAGTGTCAGCCCCTGCGGCCCTACCCTGGACTCCCACACAGGGGAAGCCCTGGCTCAGGCCTCCCCTGGTGCCAGTCCTAGTGGCTCTGCCACAGCCCTGGAGATCATGTGGACTAGCAGCAGCTGGGAGCCAGTGTCCACCTAGGTGACACCTAGCAGAAGACCTATGGTTTAGGACAGGTGTCATCTCCCCCCCTGCAGACTCTGTCCTGGCCCTGGGCTTCCTGAGGACCGAGGGGCTTAGGAGTAAAGGACAGGGGTGGGTAGGCCCCACGAGGCTCTGCAGACTGCCCAAGGGCACCGGAGCCCACCATGCTTGGGGGTACAGAGGAGGAGAGCAAGGACAGCCCAGTCCTGCTTTGCCCTCCACCTGCCAGAGTTGTGAGCTTGTGCAGAAGGCAAGATGAGGCTCCACGCCACGGAGGAACAGGGTCAGGCCCATCCCAGGCCAGGAAGGCCAGGGCTGGGTCAGGCCATGGCCTCAAGAGTCCCAGCTCCAGGCCCAGGGGCTCCGGATGCAGCCCATGCACCCCACACACAGAGGGGCTCCAGGACTGCTCTTCGGCAGTAGCTGCCTCTGCGGTTTCGCAGCACGCAGGAGGGCGGCATCCCGCCCCAGCCAGGAGACTCCACCCCCCAGCACACATGCCTACCACACACTCCAGCACCCACCTGCTTCTCCGTCATGGCATAGAGGTACTGGCGGTTGGGGCTGAGGACCAGGTCACGCAGGATGGGGCTGCCCTCTTGGGCTACCACACTTTCATACGGCAGGGCCATGCGGCCACCAGGGCTGGCAAGGTCCACCAGGATCTGCGGCAGAGAACGGCCCTGAGCAGGGCTACGCTCACACCTTTCTACCCCACCTCACTCCCAGGCAGGGGGTTCCAGTCCGTCCCCTCCTCCCTGCACTCCCTAAGACCCTGCAACAACAAGGTCATCTTCACCTTTGGCAGGGGCCGCCCTCTACTTCCCCAAACTGCAGGGAACAAGGAGAAGCCAGGAGCCTCCGGGGTAGAGAGGCCAAGGTTGGGCCTGGTGTCCCAGGGGTGAGAGACACCTCCAGCCAGAAGGTACCCGTGGAGGGGAGGTGTCTCATCGGCATGGAAATGTATTCCAGATCCCAAACAAACCGGGCGTTAATTAGCCAGCTCTTCTCCGAGACGCTGCAAGTATTTTTAGTTGCTTTTACCAAACAAATGTATTTAATTAACAGAGAGACCCAGGGGGTTTTCTGGAGCTGGGACTCGTGGGGTGCACCCGCCCACGGCACGACCGGCTTGTCTGGGCACCCTGGCCTCTGGCCTCAACCCCTAGGGCTTCTCGCCTCTCCACCTCCACCTTGAGGGGGCCAGGCCTGGCAGCACAGGACCCCCTCTTTGTGCCTCCACAGTAACAGGGCAGGGCCAGCTGAGGGCGGCCAACCAGGGTGGGGCGCTGTGTCCCCGGGCCAAAGCGGCTGCTGGCTATGGGAGAGGGGGAGGGCTGCATTCCTGAGCGCTGCTGGCCACCCCCCACATCCGCTCAGCTGCCTCCCCACCAAGCCGGCTTGGGCTTAAGTCGAACCAGACCCGGAAGAGCTGAGCAGGGGAGGAGGCGCCCCGGGCAGGCCCTGCTGGGACACTTTCAGGGTCGGGGCTCACAGTTGCCCAAACTTTGGCCCAGGCCTATGGAAAAAGGGCGCATGCAGGGCAAGGGGATGGCAGAGGGACGCTGTGGGGCCCCAGCAGCCCGGCACCCCTCTGAGCACGGCGGATGTGGCCCTCCCTGCACCCAGCTCGCCCACCCACGCCTGCCCAGGCCTGCCAAGTGTGCGGCCAGAGAAGGGGCGCAGCCCAGGCAGAAATCACTGACCACAAAGGCCAGAGGCTGCCTGCCCGGCTGGCGTCCAAGCACAGGTTCTGCTTGCGGAGCTGGATCAGTTCACACCAGTTAGGCCCTAGTGAGACACAGGCCAAGAGCCAGTCTCGGCAGGCACCCGCACAGCCTGGGTCCACACCCAGCTGGGACGCGTCCCAGTGTGCGCTGAAGCTCCTTGCTTCACTTTCCCTGAAGGACAGATATCCATCCCCTTTCTGGTACAAACACACTGGAGGCCCAGGAAGGCCAGCCCAAGACAGCTGCCAGGGAGGCCAGGAAAGAGGACAAAGCTCAGGCGAGGTCTGGGCAGGGGGACTCAAACCCCAGACCCACAGCCTCCAATCCAAAGACCCCCAAGTGCAACGCTAGACCTGTCCCAAGCCCTGGCCCTCACCTGTGCTCACAGCCTACACAGGACCCTGGAAGGCGGCTCAGGTCACCCCTCATCCCACCCTCTGACAAACACAGACACCTGGAAGGTTGGGCTGCCTGTGTGCAACCCTGACTGAGCCCCACCCGGCCTGCAGGGGGCGCTCTCATGGCATCTGACTGGGACCCCTGGCAGGTAGCCAGGTGATTCTGGGGAGTTGGCCCGGCCTGCCCAGCCTGCTGTGCCAGCTCCACAGTAGAGGCCCTGCCCCCCTCACGCGGCAGCAGCATGCCGACTCAGCCGCCTGGGACAGGTGGTGCTGACAGCTGCAGCTGGGGGCACGCGAGTCCAGCTGTCCATCCACCTGCCCAGCAAGAGGCCACCCAACCCCTTCACGCACAGGCAGGTCCCAGAAATGGGGACTGGGAAAAGCAGCCACCAGCCAGAGCGGGGGCACAGGCCTGGGTATGACAGAGCCTGGGCACATACAAGTAATGGGCATGAGGCATGGAATGACAACTCCTGAGACATGCTTTCAGGCTGGCAGGTCCTGTGGCCCCGCCAGCTTCCCTGCCCCTTAAAGAGAAGGCGGACGGAGGTTCGCATAGGACCTGCCAGGGGGTCCAGAGCCCTGGATCCCGAGCTTTGCCTGGGGAAACAAAGTCTATACCAGAGCAGGAGGGAGCTGGCACCTGGCCGAGACAGCACCCCAAGAGGGCAGGGGCATAGGCAGCGGGGCAGACACTGGGCCAGGGCAACTGGCACAACAGCAGGGCCCACATGCCTATGTCCTCAGCCTCAGCCCACAGCTGTCCACCCAGGCCACCTACCCGGAGGCAGCTGGGCCAGAGCATCCCCAGAACCCCAACCTCCTGCCGTGGTCTCCTTGCTCTGCAAACCTCTGCCCAAAGACCACCAGGGCCTTCCCCAGCCCCCGTCCACCTACCCACAAATCCCAGGAGGCCTCCGGTGTGCTACCTCTCCCACATTTGCCCCACAGGGCTTCAGGGGTCACTGGACTCCCCTGGAACGGCCCCAGGCTGCACCAGGCCCTAGCACCCACCCACCCCAGCTCAGGGAACGCAGGTCACCTCACCAGCCTCTGCTTGGGCCTCCACAGACTCAAGGCCCTCTGTCCCTGGATTCTCCTGACAAGGGGGCTAGGTCAGGTCCCAGTAGCCTCTGAAGACCAAGAAGGAGAGGCTCTGCCCTCCCCGACCTGGACTTCAAACAGGAAGAAAACAGAGGCTCCAACAGGACCTGCCAGGGAGTCTCAGATCCTTTCCCTGGTGGCAACAGGTGGTGCCAGCCCTGTCAGGGCGTCCCTGCCGGCACCCCTGATCCTTTCCCTGAGGCCCCACCACAGTCCCGGGAGGCAGCTTGGTGGGGGCTGAGCCCTGGGCTGCCCAGCCGGCTGCCCGGACCCATCACACCAAAGCTGTGCCCGACTGCTGCAGGCGGCGGGCAGCTGATGGCCCGGTCAGGTCAGCTGTCCATCCAACCCCAAGCCAACAAAGGGCCTATTCTCCGGGCTGAGGGCAGGCGGGGGCCGAGGAGGATGTCTGAGCCATCCAGGCTGCGTGCCAAGGCCGGCACGCGCCCTAGCTGCCCGGAGGCAGGGGGCTGCCCTGCGCGGCTCTGACCCGGGGAGGGAAGGCTTGCCCTGCTCTGCCCACTGTGTGTCAGCAACTCCACCCTCACCTCCCTGCCTGCGAAGGGGGCACCTGCTGAGCTTGTTCCTGGCCCCCAGGACTGGGAAGAACAAAATGGGACAGGGACAGGTAGAAGTCAGTGAGGGTGTCACGGCCTTCTGCAGACGTGGTCACCAAGCCTGTCCCTGGCCGGAGTTCTCCTGAGAGGGGCTGTGTGAGGGTTGGGGTCCCTGCCACCCTCGCCCTCCAGAAGCCCTCGGGTGCAGAGCCTACTCTCCTGTCCTTGGATGACCTCTCCTGACCCTTCACCAGGCATTTCCCCACCCCCAGCTGGAAACACGCTCCAGCCCCCTTCCTGGGTCCCCTCCATTCTCAAAGGCCAGGAGGAATTTGATACTGGAAAAGCAATTAGTGATTTCCTCCTGGCAGTAATTGGGTAATTAAAACATGATTTGCAGGAGGGCTGATGGTTGTAATTGGGCCAGATACACCTGGTGGGGGGGGTCCCCAGGAATCTTGTCCTTCCCACCCCCAATCTCTACCACATGGGGGACAGCGGGGAACCGGGGTCAGGGCCTCAGCAGGTGGGGGACAGCAGGGCTGTGTCCAGCTGGCTCCAGCCTACCCCAGCTGTGACCTCTCTATAGCAGGGCCTCCCTGACCCTTGGGCTCCTCATCTGCTGACATCCATCTCTCTTCGGACTGCATGAGAATGCAGGAGCTCACAGGTTCAAGGGGGCAGGGCATCCTACAGCCCGCCTGGAGACGGCCCCCAAATCCAAAACCTGCTACGGGTGCCGGTCAGACCGCAGGACAGCCCCAATCACCGCAGGGCTTCAATCACACCACTGACCACCCAACCTAGGATCAGTACCAGATCCCACAGGTGCACTGCAGAGGAGGCAGGGTCTGCCTGGCCCAGGGTCTCTGACCCAGACCCACAAGCGACTGTCCCTGGCTTCCCCCCTGCCCACCTTCCACAACTCCGCTGCTCACACCCTGAAGAGTGCTCTGCTCCACACACAGCCGGGGCCCATGGACCCCAGCATTTTCTCAGGGCCCTCACAGCTGCCCCACATCCCGCAGACACTTCCTGCGCCACCACGGTATACACCACAGGGCTCCCTGTGGACCAGCTGGGTAGGCCAGGACAGCGACCCCAGCAGCTGAGGCCTCCCCACCACTCAGCTCTGTGCTCAGCACACACCAGGTACCGCCAAGCTTTGGCCCTGCTGTCCCTTCCCTAGAACACCCTCCCAGCAAACCACACAGAGGCCCTGTCTGTCCATGGGTGGGAGCCGCCCATGGTGGGGTGCTGAGAAGGCCGCCCCCACTGGGCACGGTCAGGACAGACAGGAGGCTGCTGTGGGCCTGGGCTGGGTGTGTCTTCTCACCAAGGTACTGAGTGCCCGCTGCAGGGCCCTCCTCACATGCGTGGTAGAGACCCTGCCAGCAACGGGGAAGAAGCAAGGCCCACAGTGGCACAGGCCACTGGCTTTGCGATGAGCAGCCAGGACAGCACCAGGTGCACTCACGGGTGAGTGCACGGTCTTCCATGTCCTGAATCAGCCCCTAGCGGTGGACCATACCAAGGAGAACCAGAGTGTGCACCATGCACAGAGACTCCTCCACAGGTCCTGGGACCACTGTGCTGGGCGGGTAGGGGCAGCTGCCACACACAGGAAGCAGGCAGCATGGCCTCTTTATACCCCTCTGATGACCACCAGCAGGACAGAGCATGAATAGGTACAAGTCCCCCACCTAGTCCTCGCAACAGCAAGAAAAAGATGAGCCTGGAGATCAGAGGAAAAGAGGACCAGGACACTGAGCTCCTGGGTAGAAGCCAGCCAGAGTTCGTCCCCATGCTGGCCAGAACCCAAGCACAAAATGCCAGGGACACAGAGCTGTGCTGCTCGCAGACCTGCACAGAACCAGAACACACAGACAGGGTGGACCACGGGGGACACACTCAGGAAGGGGAACCTCCGGCAAGGCTGAGTGAAGGAGGACAAAGAAAACACGCTGCGCGTGACTCAGCCCAGAGGTTCCAAGAGGAGGTCAGCAAGATGGGCGGGGCCTGGGCGGGACGCTGGGACCATAGGTGTCCTTGAGTGACACCCTCCCTGGTTGGCAGTGCATGCTTGTGTCACAGGCAGACTGCGGCAGGGCTGGGAGTACACAGAGCCACCAAGGCATAGGGAAGCTTCCAGAGACCCAGGGCTTCCAAGCCGCAGGTGGGACAGCTGGTGCGAGCAGCGCAGGCCCAGAGCAGCACACAACAGGCACTCAGCGGGGAGCCACAAGCGCCGGGCAGAGGGAGCCCTCAGAGCCCGCTGCACCCTCCAGAGACCCAGCTGCTCCCTGGTGCCTTAGGGATGCTAGCAAGACCCTGGCTTGGCTGGGGAGCCAGCTGTGTCCGAGGCTGTGTGTGCAAGGCTGCAGCCCAGCCAGGCCACACCAGGAGCGGAGCTCTACGGCCATCGCCTTGGGCTTCGATCCACACAAGGAGAGGGCATGCTGGGTGGCACACACCAGGGAACCTGCCCCAAGCCTCCCCAACTCCAGGTGGGAAACTGAGGCCTAGGAGGGTAGGACTTGGCTATGTCAGGTGGGAGCTACCCTCAGGGCCCACCCTTTCCGGGGCGGCACAGCGCTGTGACACAGGTCCCTGGCCACAAGCTGGTGGCCGAAGACATGTCAGAGTCGGCCCTGTCGCGTTCTCACAGCAGACTCAATGCCTGCGCTGAACAACTGGAGCTCTCAAACAGAACACAGTCCCCTAGAAAACCGAGGCCAGGGCAGAGAGGCCAACATTCGCCTAACGTGACCACCAGAAGGCCAGGCTGGCCCTGGAGTGGCGCCCAGGCCCTTGCCCCTGCAAACCAGCCTGGGACGGTGTGGGTACTTCCTGAGGTGCCCCCACCCTGTCCTCAGGCAGCACTTTCCCTGCCTTTGCCTCTGCCCCCAACAGGGCACAGGCTGGCCCCTTAGAATCCCAGCAGGGCTGCCCAGATTGGAGGCTCTGCTGGAGTCTGGGCTCCTGGGAAGCCATGGGGATCACAGACAGGGCCACAGCCCCCCAGTGCTAGGAGGGCTGCACCAAAAGCAGAGGGCGCACAGCCCCAAGTGGGAGGGCTCTCGGGAAGGTGGGGAGGCAGAGCACCCCCAGCCGGCCCTGAGCAGCTGAAGTTGGCAGGTCTTAAATTAATCGGCTACAATTTTACACAACAACACATTCGGCAGGGCCTGGCCCAGGGCCAGCCAACCAAATCCCCAGAGCTCCCCAGACGCTTTTAGAGCCAGGAAAGAAACAGGCCTGGGAAAGCAGGGAGCGGCCAGCACCACCACAGACTTGCCCTGGGTCGAAAGGTGGGCTGGAGTCCCCAGCGCCCAGCTCCAGCCTGCGGCACAGGGAAAGGACAGGTGGGGACCCATGGTACTCAGACAGCCATGGGGGCAAGAGGAGCCTCACTGTGAACCCAAGGGCTAGCCCTCCCCAAGGCCCAGCACGGCGGCTGGCAGCACTGCTCGCCCAGCTCACAGCCATATCCTCCCCCACTCACGAGAGGGGCAGGAGTGCTGCTGCCCCAAGGCTAGGCCCAGGAGGGCCTGTGCCATCAGGGACAGGTATCTCTTGCAGAGGTCAGAGGTGCAGTGCTGGGCCCTGCGGAAGGTGACAGGGGCCAGGCGGGCAGAGGGGGACCCAACCCACACTGAGCAACATGTACGCCCATGGTGGACATGGGGCCCAAGGGCAATCCAGGAACTAGGGCACAGAGCTGCCCCGTCCTCAATGCTACCACAGCAGCCAAACAGAGCACAGGCCAGTCCCAGGGCTGGCAGGGCCCTAGCACATCCTGGGCTGTGGGAGGACCCCAAGGCCAGCTGCCCAGGGCAGCAATAGGCGGAGAGAGGGGCAGACCCAGGCTCCCTTCTCCAAGGACCCACAGAAACGGGGAGAACCAACCCTGGGCGCAGGCTACAACTGCTCTATGCCTCAGTTTCCTGATGTGTCAAACAGACGGTGGGACTGCTACAAGGCCCCCCATGAGGGTGTGTCCACTCTGGGGCAGAAGTGGGAAGTCAGGCTCAGAAAGGCTGGGCAGCTGGCTGGAAGTCACACAGCTCAGCTGCATGCACACCTGGGGTAGAAAAGACCATCACTGCGATGCATGTGGACGACGGATCAAGTTCCATATCTGTGTCTCCGAGGGAACCCAACTCCGCCGCAGAGCCTCAACAGATCAGGGAGCCAATTCCCTGTCTCCAAGGCTCTCACATCAGCAGGCCACGCCACGCCACTCACCCCTGCACCCAGCCTGGCGTCCCTGGGGTGGGAAGAACAGGTGCCCAGGAGTAGGTCCTGTGCCTCTGAGGACCCTGGGCTCTGACAGCAGGGCCCACCAGGGTCACCCATGCACACTCCCAACACTAGGCCCACGGGCTCTGGGTGCCACCTCCTCCACTGGACTGTCCTGCAGCTGCCCAACACTCACTGCAGGGGCGGGGGGCAGAGGGCAGACCCCACTGTGGCCACTGCCACACTTGCACAGCCTTCACCAGGAGCCACCGGCCTCCTCATACACCCACAGCAGGTCCAGGAAGGTGAGGCCACACTGAGGGGAGCGCACGGCTGAGCAGGCCTGCACCTGCCCCTCCCTCCAGTGCAGTGAGCACAATACAGGACGGCCCAGCCCAGGGCCCCTGCGTCGGCAGCCCAGCCCCCACTGTCCCAACACCACCACACAGGCTTTCAGGCTCACTTCGTGGAGAAGCAGCTGAGACTGGGGGCTCCCCAGTCAGAGCCAGCGAGCGCAGGGGCAGGCTCCAGGACCTCACGGGCCACAAGCCCAGCTCCACCCACGGGGACAGGACAGGTGGGCAGGTGGGGACGTGCGTTAGCACAGAACCTGGGGCTGTTATTTCACACCCCTGCTCACCAGGCCTGGGGATGCGCGAGCAACCGCCCCCTCCAGCCTCAGGGTTTTTCCTCCAACCCCTGTACCCACTCTGCCACTGCCCGCCCACCCACCCACACAGCGCCCCTCCCCATGCAGCCTCCAGGAGCCTCCCCTGCCCTATTGGCACCCAGTTCCGTCCTGTCTGGCACTTGAGATGGGGGGGACTCAGAAACCAGAGGAGCTGCTGCATGGTGCCACCCTCACCACAGGGGTCCCTCCAGTCACCCAGCCCCTCCACACTAGCTCTGGCAGGCTGAGGGGCGTGTCCTTGCCTCGCCCTTGGCCCCAGCACAGGGCAGGTCGGTGGGAGCAGGCAGAGCGCTGTCTCAGCAGACACCAGATCTCCCAGGCCCGAAGCAGGGCAGCAGGGAGGCGGCCGACAGCCCACCCTGCCCCCACCTGACTTGGTCCGCCCTGCCACAGAGCTGCCCTCCCATCCACCCCAGCCCCACCCCACCTAGGCCTGACCTTGCGGATGCGGCCACTGCGCGTGCCGGCGAACACCACAGTGCGGCCCCGGTAGTCGTAGGCAGCCACGGCAGTCAGGCCGTCGTCCTTGTCCACAAATAGGGGTGTGCCCTCGATGGTGACCGTGCCCCCCAGCGGCTGGTTGAAGTCCTGTCCACAGAAGTCATCATCGATCTGCAGGGGCTGCAGGGAAGGGTGGGATGAGAACTGGGTCGAGGGCGTCTTCTCCCTACCAGGGGCAGGGTGGAGGCACAGACCTGCAGAGGGTCCCGAGAGGCCAGCACCCACCCAGCCACGAGAGGACACAGCCCCACACACAGCTCCCATGATCCCAGCCCACAGAGGAACAGGCTTGATGAGGATTCCAGCCCAAGCAAGCACACCCAGTGGTCACACCTCTGTACCCCACCAGCCTGGCCCTACACCCTACCCTGGGAACAGGACCAGTGCCCTCAGTCCACCAGGTGTGGCCCCATGGCACCCAGGGTCCCCAGGGCCACCATGAGGAACGGGTGTCCACCACGAGTGGTCCGCCAGAGAGGGATGCCGGAGGGCGCAGTCCCTTGCTGCAGAGAAGTGGCCACCAAAGGAGCGTGCGGACATCCGGGGTAACTGGAGGGGCCCACTGGGCTGCAGGTAGCAAGCAGCAGTGGGATCCGGACATGTGCGCGCTGCCCAGCTGGGAGGCCGAGGAGGAGAGGGCAGGGCACCCAGAGAGGAGGACAGGGAAGAGATGCCAGTCCCCTCTGGGGGCCTGAGATGCTTTGGGGAGAGGCTCCAACCGGACAGAGCAGGGGAGGCTGGGCCAGGCGGGGGGGGTGCCGGGGGGCGCGCCCGCCAGCGCCCCCATGGAGGAAGACGCAGGCCCGGGATACGGAGCACACAGCAGGGTCTCGGGACGCACTGCCTTGCAAGCCTCAGCTTTGCTACATGCCTCCTCCGGAAGCCCAGAAGCGCGTGCTGCCCCTACACACTGAAGCCTGAGAAGAGCGGAGGGACACTCCCGTCCACCCAGGCTGGCCTGGCTGGGACTCAGAGAACCGCAGCCAGGGCAGGAGGCTTCTCCGGGCCGAGGGAGTCCCAGGAGCAGAGGGCCCGAGGGCAGGGCAGATCTGGGTGACGGCCCAGCTTCTGACGTTAACCAGTCCTGGAGCCTCTGAGTCCGGGAGGCTCTGGCCAATAATGCTCCGGGGAAAGCGGCTATCAGAGGCCAGGCCAGTGGCTGCACAGCACCCAGCTTGGGGTGGCCTTAGTTCCCCCTGTGGGGTGAAGTAGAGGCTAAAGAGACAGGTACACAGGTGGCCAGGACCATGGGGTAGAGACACACTTCCTGCCCAGCGTAGGTCTGTCCCTGGCTCTGCCTTTTGGTGGCTGTGTGACTTCAGGGAAGTCAACCCACCTCTCTAAGCCCCAGTCACCTCATCTGCAAAATGGGGACAAAATGGAGCAGGCCACGATCTGGCACATGGTCAGGGCTCTGAGTACAGTGTGAGGCACATGTCACAGCCCAGGGGCTTGTGAGCCCAGGATGCGGTCAAGTCCAGAAGCAGGCTTTGGGGCTAGCACTCTGGGTGCAGACCCACTTTCCAGCCTCACAGGGCTCGGGTGGCGGCAGCAACAGACCCAGCACACAGGAGGACCCATAGCGCAGGTGGCCGGGGAGGGACGTACCCTGCCAGGTGGTAAGTACCCATCCCACCCACACTACTCACCGAGTTGATACAGCCCAGCTCCTTGTTGAGCAGCCAGGGCAGCGAGAGCTTGCCCTCGCCGCGGTAGCAGGACTGGATGCGCTCCTTGATCTTCTCCTTGATGGCTCTGAGCGTGAACAAGCACAGCGCCGACTCCTTGGGCGGCTTCACGCGGTTCTTCTGGCCCTGGGCGAACACGGTGAACAACACATCCTCATCCTCCGCCAGGCCCAGCTGGCGGGCCAGGGTTTGGCCGGGCCGGCTCAGGTAGGCATCCTGCACCAGGCGATACTCCACACCAGCCTGCTCACAGCCAATGGGGAACTCCACGTACGAGTAGAACTTGGGGTCGTCCACGCACAGCCGCACAATCTTGGAGGTGAAGAAGTGCTCGCCCGCAGCATCGGGCGAGGTCAGCTGTGTGTCCAGCTGCAGGGTGAGGTAGTAGACAAACTGCTCACTGCGGAAGCTGTATACGTAGTAGATGTCGAAGGCTGGAAACTTGGACAGTGTGTCTGACGGGATCTTCAGCTGTGAGGACACGAACTCGTCCTGGTACACAAAGCCAAACATGTCCGCATCCTCCTCGTTGGCCATGAGCCGGCGGCTGGAGAGCGTGGGGAAGTACTCAGATTTGCCATCGATGGGCGTGCCCACGAAGAGCTTGGCCTGGCCCTGGCCTGGCGGCCCAGCGATGAGCACGCCCGCCATGCTGCCAGCTTCGCGCACACTCGACAGGTAGTGCTCCTTGCGATGGTGCGGCTCGCCCAGCTTGAAGAGGTCGTCAAGCCGCAGGAACTGGCAGATGCCCTGGGAGGCGCTGCCGCAGGCCAGCAGGCGGTTGGCAGCGTAGTCCAGGAGTAGTAGCTTGTTGACATTGTCTGTGCTGCCCAGGCCATGTGGGCACGACTGCACGCTGGGGGGTGGGTAGCACTTTTCATTGTCCTCCACAGGGCCCGTCACGTGGGCCCGCAGCAGTGTCAGGTTCCCCGACAGCTTGTAGATGCGGTTCACGGCGCCCACGTACACCTCGCCAGTCTGCTCATGGACCACCAAGTGGGTGAGGCCCCAGTCGCTGGCTGTAAAGGTGCGGAAGGCGGGCTGAAGGCCCCGGCCTGCCCTGGGCGAGCCCACGGCAGCCTGAGCACCACCCAGGAGCAGGAGCAGCAGCATGGCGAATACGCGCAGGCTCAGAGGTGGCAGCGGCATGGCGGTCCGGGACCTGGCGCCTTGGAGCTCAGGTCCTGCGGGGCCGGGCATCACGGGGTCGGGAAACTCAGCCCTGGGGAGAACAGGCAAGAGAGGACATGAGCGTGTGTGCATACAACCCACACACCCAGACACACACCCCATCGCCCGCAAATGCCCGCGCTGCGTGGGCACGGCGCTATGCCTGGGAGGGGCCCTGAGCCCCCACGAGGAAACGGAGACAGAGAGGGCGCCACCCTGGCCCACTGTCCTGCGGGTGGTGAGCAGTGAGCCAGAAGTCACTGAGACCAAGCTGAAGCCACCAAAAGCAGCACAGACGCCTGGCTGGCAATGGGACACGCCTGCGCCCTGCCTCTGCTGAGATGCAAGCGGAGTGCTAGAGCAGGAGACAAGGGTCTGGGGTCTCGACGTGGAGCCAGCTGAACTCTAATTTGGGGAACAGCACTCCATGATGGGGAGCCTACCCGTGGCCTAGAAAATAAGACCCCCAAGGCCTTCGGCCAGGAGATACGCCGGCTGAAGCTATTGGGTGACACGAGACTCCTGTCACCCATGGAGGACACAGAGATGGGCACTGCCACTCAGTGCCACCTCCACACCACTCCACACCATCAGTGGGACTAAGCCGTGGTGACCCCACCCTGGCTCTTGGGGCTGCGACCTGGGGCTGGCCTGGGCAAGGGGCAGGACAGGCCCAAGCTGTGCGCACGGGACACACAGGGCTGAGGTGGCCCTGGTCCTGGCAATCCCGACCCCGGCTACACCCCAGGTCCCTGCGGTGCCCGGCAGGGGCTGTGGCTGACATCCTGTGCCGATCCCCACTGAGCACTCTAACACAGAGTGCTCCCCGACACACTCGCAAGGGCCCCATGAGAACCCCACGGGCCCACAGCCATGTGGGCAGTTCTCGGCGCATGGCTGGGAGCAGGCTGGGCCCCACCCTGGGCACGCTCACTGTACCCGCCAAGACCGTGTGCACCTCCCACCCACACCACATCCCCTGCGGGATGGACTTAGACCCTGGCCCTCAGCCACACACCAACACTAGGCCAAGAGGAGCAGCAGCAGAGAGGAGGGCGGCAGCAGGATCTATGGGCCCCTCTTGCCCCCTGAGCACCCCCTAAGTGTCCATGTCCATGTGAGACCAGCCCTGTACAGCGTGGCCCAGGACCTCACCACTCAGCACTGCCCAAGCCACACCGGGCCTGGGCATCTCCGTGGGACTGTCCTCCACACAGCTCCACCCATCACAGCCCCCCAACTGCCTGCCCGCCCCTGGACAACGTGGTGCTTGGCACCTTCCACACGTCACCTGAGCAGGGTGAGATGTTAGGATGCAGCCGCTCAGGCTATGCCTCTGACCTGCGCCTCCCACAGCCTCCGGAAAAGCTCACCTTCCCCCAGCAGGCATAGACAAATCCAAACGGTGTCATTCTACAGCTGTACGGCCCTTTCCAGGCCTCAGTCTCCCTGTCACAGGGCAATGACCACAGCTCTTCTCTTAGGGCTGAAAGAGGGATGGCACAGCCTGCCTCCAAAGTGCTGGAGGAACTGCCACCCTCTCAGTGCCAGTAGTGCCCTGCAGGGCCTGCCCAGGTGCCCCAAGTGTGGCTGCCAGACAGCACTCTCCCCAGGGCCTGGTAGCCCATCTCACAGGTGGGGAGGCTGAGGCTGGAAGACAGAAGCCTCTGCCAAGTTGGATGAGGAGCTGGCCAGAGTGGGGCTGCCCCATGCCGCCTGCCCTCACTGGCAAGGGGCCACCACCCACACCCACTGGGGTGTCTGTCAGCAGAGATGGCATCTCCCGGACCTGCTCCTTGTCACCTGTTTCAACTTGCAGCACACAGTTCCCGAGTGAGTTCTGTCCCTTATGTCCCCACTCTCCCCGGCTGCAGCTCTGTGTGGTTTGCTCGGTGCCCCAGAGCCCAGCCCAGGACCCAGGAAGCCTGGATTACCTCTGAAGCCTGGATCACTCTGAACAAGTGAACGAAAGGGACCACCGGGCCTGGGCAGGGCAGCACCGTCCCCCCCCAGCCCTTCCTCTCCACACACCCTGTCCAGCGTGTGCCCTGGGAGTATGCACGGTGCAGCGCCTAAGTAAACTAAGCAGTAAACTAAGACAGGGCCCCAGAGCAAGGGAAGCAAGGCTGTGCCACCCTGCAGGGCTCCTCCCCACAGGCTGTCAGCCACCTTTCCAGGGCAGACACCGCCCCAAACAGTGGCCAGCAGGGGCCCCCACAGGGCGCCAGGACCAGAGTCCCCACCCTCTGCCACCTGCCTCGGGGGCAGCCCACAGCAGACCAGGGAGCCAGAGAACAGGTTCCCTGCACAGGCAGCGGGCCTGGCTTCGAGCAGAGTACATGTGAACTCCAAAGAAAACATGAATCACTCAGCGTTTATCAGTTCAAAGCAGGCCTGCAATTACCAGGGGCTGGGCGCTCCCCTCCTCCGGGATAATTACACACGTCTTAATGCAATTATGGGCCCTACTTTTCATATTAAACGGGAGGGACCCGGCTGAAGAAGCCACCATCCAAACTCCAGCCCAGCCCTGGGCCCACTCCCTCGCCTGCCCAGCAGCGGCTGCCAGGAAAGGACCGGCCCAGGGTACACGCTGCTGGCCTGGAGAGGGGGATCCCAAGCTACGGCTTTTCCCCTGTGCTCACTATGGAACAAAGGCCAGGGAACATGCCTGGGCCACTTCCTCTGCCTGAGAGTACAGGACTCAAGCTCAGGCACTGCCAAGGTCACCTGGCCAGTCCTGGCAAGGCAGGGACATGGGACAGCCAGGCAACCTGCTGGGCTCACCTCCACCAGACCCATGGCCTACCAAGGAATAACACACTCCTCCAAGGTCTGGCTGGGTGCTGGGCCTGCCAGGCAGGAGAAGGGTGCATCAACAGACCCAGGGCTCTAGGGAGAAGCACTGGCTGCTATGGGCAGGGGCAGGGCTGGTGGGGCGCTTCCACCTGTTCTGGAAGGACCAGGCACACTGGGCGCTCGATGGTGGGGGTAGGGGGCTGGGGTTTGGTAGGAACCTGTCAGAGGTACCTGGGGCAGTGCATGGTGCTGCAGCTGGGGCAGTGGTCTGAGAATTGGAGCCAGACCAGAAGGGCAAAGCTGGTATGGAGGTGCCCCACAGGGGCAGCCAGGGGTGGGAGTAAGGCCAAACTCTTAGGTGGGGCCAGGCACGAGGGGGAGGGGCAACTTCGCTCCTGCACAGACAGGACGGTCTGGCTGTTGGAGCGTGCATGCTCCTCTCCCGGCCCTGGACGCCACCATGGCTACTCACCCTGAGAAACAAAGGCCTGAGCCCTCTACAAAGAAAAGAGCCCGCTGGCCATGGCCTCCCACTCCGGGTCCTCCTGGGACTCAGGCAGGTTAGGCATGGGGGATGGGGAAGATGCTGCCATTCTGCCCAGTGGCTCCTATCAGCACCCGCGGGAGAGGCTTCTCTTGCTGCTCTCCCTTGGCTGTTGGAGGTCACAGGAGATGGTCCCAAGTGGCCCTGTTCTCCACCAGCCCTTTGGGACCAGGTACCTGGGGGCCCTAGAGTCTCACTCTCCTCTTCTCTAAGCCGCCCTCTCCCTGGCCAGCTGCTCAGAGCACAGGGACTTTCCTGGGGGTCCAAACACCCAGGTAGCCACCTGGGACCCCAGCAGCCCAGCCAACAGCTGTGTGCTTTGTCCATGACCACCTCCGCTCCCTCCCCAGAGTGCACCCTGCTGTCATAAGGACTGGCTAGCTGGATTCACAGAGCCAGGCCTCCACCCAGGATGTCCCTGCGGCTGACCCTCTGCTCCTTGGCCCCTCCCCGCTGCCTAGCTCACACCTCTGCCTAGGGCACCGGCTGGGCACTCCAGCAGGGCTGGGTAGAGCTGGCGTGGCACCGTCCTCCCTGCACACCCCAAACAGGAGAACAGGAGGGGACCTGGGGGTGGTCCCGAGGGCCAAGGGAACAGAAGCTGCGCCCACAGGACACAGAGGGAGACCCAGGCTCAGGGCAGAGAGGTAGGGCAGCAAGAACACCTTAGGCAGGCAGGAACTGAGCTGAGGGGACACAGCTCGGCCACGTCCCCCCCTCTTTTTCTTTCAAGGGGCGTGGCCCCTGCACCCCACAGACGAACCAAAGGCACCAGGGGCAGCCAGCTGCCTCCGAGCCCAGCGCACTCCCTTTCCAGGGCTGCACCCAGGATCTCCGGCGATGGAGGGGCCTCTCCGAGGTCCGCACATCCGTTCCTGGGGCAGACCCAGTCGGCGCGCGCCGTCAGCGCCGGCGCACAGCACCAGGCCCGGGACCAGCCGGGAAGCCCCGGAAGCCTCGCGGGGAGGCGGACGACCCCAGGAGGCCCGGCGAGGGGAGGCCGCGGCGGCCGACCGAACGCCTCCCAGTGGCACCGCACCCTCCAGCCCGCGGGGCCCTGCGGGCATGGGCCGGACCAGCGGAGTGCTGAGGGGGTCGAGGCCCGGGGAGCGGCTCCAACTTCCACCCGCGCCCGAGGCGGCCAGGGCGCAGCCCCCAGCCCGACA